TAAATCTGAACTCTTTGGTTTATGACAGAACCAAAGGCTTATCAAGGCATTTTTAAAGGAAAAAGTAGTAGATTCACAATTGTATCTGCCTCTACAAACTATTGCAATAAAAGTCATACCGTGAGATGTATATCGTGAAAATATCGTACAGAGAAATCTGGGTATCGTTACATCCATAAAGGTACATGATATACTGCTGTTTTTTAAGAACCACATTTTAGCAACAATGTTTCTTTGTTAAACCATTAACCTGCGCAAAGTTAATTTGAAAATATATCTATTTTAATCATCAAAACAGTGAATGTGTCAAGTGTACTGCACAAACAAGTTTCCATCCACTAAACAAGCAACAAAACTGTAGTGCGGCCACAGTAAAAATGCTACAAGATACCAAAAAAATACTCTTAATAATCGATATATCGATACAGCAGCCTCTGATAACGATACTGTATCACCGAATGTAGTATCACAATATATTGATATTTTTATATTTTTGCACACCCCTAGTTCACAGTTTAGTCCTAGGGCTGGCTTTGATTTAGTGGTTACAATAATCAAAGAGGAATTGTTTCATGTCAAATAGCCCTGTTAAAATACCAAGGTGACTAAAAGCATGTTTAAAAGCCGAAAAGGCTTGAAGCATGATGTCTACTAATCCACTTAGTCCTCTAATTTGAACAGCTGTGGCTCACACTGGTTTTAGTTCTAGTAAAGTTGTAGTGGAGAGGGTTTTTTTTTCTGTCCTTGCACTAAAATCCAAACTTTCCTTGAGATGGTACTTTGAAAACTTTGCAAAACCACTGATGTAGAGGAGACAAAGCCAGGAGGGATGAACTGAAGCAGTGTTGTGTCGACGCAAAGAATATAAAACGAGCTCAGGAGCCCCGAGCAATTAGAAATGACATCATGTCCTCTCAAACACTCACTGCAGTCTTTGGCCAGGTCTGGATCAGGAGAGAGACTGAGGAGCAGACTAGAGAAGGAGAGATGAAAGGAGAAGAGGAGAGAGGAGATGACAATGCATGAGGCTAATTAATACAGGCAATGACACAGCAAAGAAAACTACAATTCACTCGACCAAAAGAGAGTATTTATCTCAAAAAGGGCAACACACTACACATTTAACTCATGTACTACCTCGCTTTCTTGATGGAGGGTACGACACCTACTTGATTCCATGAAGAAGTTCCACAATAAATCATTTAACTTATCTATCGCCATAGAAACATGCATCAGTTCTTGGTCAGATCTGTGGAGAGCGATAAAATACACCCGTTATGAAATACAGGTTTTGTACATTTGATGCCAAACATACAAACTAACAACATCTCTATGGAGACAAGCAGGTGATGGACACTGCACCAGAAAAGTTACATATTGTACCTTTTCAGTACAGTCAATATTGTGTCCAATAGTGTGCTGCCTCTACATTACTTTAGGGCAAACCTTAAGAAAATGTGAAAGTGCTTCTGAGACTGAATGTCGTCTATTTAAATGCTTGGTGGAAAATGTTATGCAAAATATATGCAGCAGGAGAGTTGGTGAATGGAAAATAGGTAGACACACAGAGTGAAACCTCAGCGGTACACTCCAAATACAGCACAGAAGTCCTTTGGTAATTCTTGTTATTGTCAACATCTTTTACTGCTGCGTACAACTACTCCAATAGTTTTAGGCCTGCAGCGATCAAGAAGAAACTAAATTAGACACAATCCAGTTTTGCTATAGTATAGTGTATAGTATTGATACACAACTAACTCCAGTCGAAAAACAACTCCATTTAAAGAGTTTTTGTGCTTTTATCTGTCAACTTTACTTCGCACTGTGTAACTTCGTCCTGTGGAGGGTCTGTCACCTGCTTGTCTCTATGGAGATGTGTCTAGAATGTTCCACAATACAGCCATGAACTTATAAATCTCCCTGGAGACTTGCAAGCCAAATTAGAGCTTAGATTTGTGGACCGTCAGAGTAAGAATTCATGTTTTAATATTGTTTAAGGTATTTTTGAGCAATAAATAACACCTGTAGTTGAATGCAAGAAAAATTTGTTTAATGCCTGACTGTGGACCATTTAAACCAAAGCATTAACATATTCATGGAGACAAACAGGTTGAAGACTCTTTCTAGAAAAGTTACCCATTGCATCTTTCAGGTATTCTTATAACATTGCTTTTACAGTTTTTTCTTGCTAATGACAACCCAAACATCAGATAATCAGAATTGTAGTATAAACAGATTAAATTACACTAAAATTCTACTCAAAAATTAAACCACCATTTGTGCCCAATCCACCTCCAAGAAGATTTAAACAGGAAAGTCATTCATGTTATTTTCCAAACCTCTTCAATCTCAAACACAAACAAGCAATTAAATGAGCCCATGTTTCAGCAGGACAAGCAGGCGTATTATCTCCAGGGTCAGACAGAGAAGGGCCACAGACACGATGGAAACGATTAGTGAACCACGTCCAACCAGCACCAAGCACCCATACAAGCCCAGCCTCTGCCTTTGGGGTCTGCAGCCTCCTGTCAAAGCATGAGAATATCCTCTTGTTTTCCATAAAGAAGCCCTTTATTCACTTTAACAGTAGCCCAGTAGCACTGACAGACCTGCATGAGAAAAGGCAGGGTTTCTCAAACTGTGGTACCTGTACTACTGGTGGTACACAAGATCCTTCAGGTGGTACTTGGACAGCTCTTCAGATTGTGGGTTTGCCTAAATTTGAGCAAATTTTATCCACTTTTTGTCCTTTATAATCTTGTTGGGAACTACAGTACTTTTAGATCTTGATTGGTCCTAGATTAGTCCTGGAAAAGTCCTGTTGTAGACTTGATTTAGATCTGGTGTTATTCAGAAAGCAAAATCCTTTTCTTTAGTGGTACTTGCTGAGTAAAGTTTGAGAGGCACTGGGATAATTAAAGGGCCCATATGACGCCTTTTTCTGATCTGTCATAATGTTGTTTTTGCATCACAAACATACCTGGTGTTGTGTTTTGCTTCATTCACACAAGTTTAACATACAAATCCTGCATATTTAGTCTGCGTTTTTCCTCTTTGTAATGTCTCATGGTAATAAGCTCCACTGTGTTTTTAAACTCTATAAACCTTCACTAGAATAATTTAGATGATTTCAGTCCTGGAATTACCAATCTCTGCTGAATTAAAGTTAAAAAGTTAACTTGAAAACTACTGCTACATGACATCATAAGGTGAAACAGAGCATTTTGCGCTTTGGAGACGTAGACAGACTAAACAAAACACAACTCCAGGTATGTTTTTGATGGGGTAACAACATGGAGGAGGTGTAAATTTTGCATAATATTGGACCTTTAAGGCACAAGTCAGCAGTGAAGGCGCACTGGTATCTCTGAGAAGGATTATTATTTACTGTCTCAATCATGTTTTGTAATAAATTGCATTCTGCTGGGTTTCGACAAATTATCCACCCAAATTCGATCCCTCCAGACCATTACCCTTTATTACACTGTACTGCAATAAATACACTTGCGCAATCGCTTTTCCTGCTCAATCTTACATCCAGCATATCGTTTTTGCAGGACTTAAGGCGATTTTTGTAGACTTTTCATTTGTTTTGTTTAGTTAGGCTAACTACAGAAGGTAACTGGAGGTCCTAGGGCTACCATACAAGACGAGACAACTAATCAATGGCCCGGTTACGCGTCGAATCTTCACAATACAACACTTTTAAAAGAATATAGTGTTAATGCAATATATCTAATGCCCTCTTGTTGTTGTTTTGTGTGTAGCATTTGCAGTTTAGCCACTACCACCGCGGTCTGGTTGGGCTAACCTTAACGCAAAGACACCACGATGTCCCTACGGTGGTTGTTTTCTCACACACAAGCACCAGTTTCCGTCACACCGTAAAAAGTCATTGAGCCGCCACCACGACCACAGCTAAATCCAAGACAATAAAGTCAAAGGAGCACACGCTGAGAGCTGTAAATGCCCATCTGGGGCCGCAGCCTCCCAGTCTCTCCCATGGTCTCCCTCTCTCGCCTTCACGACGTGCGGGCCCCAGCAAAGCGCAAAGACGCACACAGGCGCAGCGCAAAGTTACTCACGTTTTGGTCATTTGAAGAGTAGAAAGAGCATAAACACACAAAATATCTTCTTGAACGCGTAAACAATCTCTGCATATCACATCACTCACCTCCTCTTGTGCACAGCGTTCACGTCCTATTGCTGCTCTCTCTCTCTCTCTCTCTCTCTCTCTCTCTCTCGCGTTTCTCCTCCTCTCTGGGCTGGATCCTTTCGCCCTCCCCTCGGTGATGTGCGCTCCGCAGACTGCTCATGGAGACTGCCCCCTCCCAGATGCAGCAGCTGTCCGACAGGGGGAACCAGAACCCAGGGAGCGCGTGGGTGGACCGTGAGGGGGACGGGGACTGGCATAGATCCACATTAAAACCTGACTTTGAAAGAAACATTTATTTATTAAACCTGGTGTAACTTGAAATTGAACAACTGAAAAGGTCAACAGTCTATTGTGGCCGAATAAAAAAAGAAAAAAGAGAACAGAGATATCATGAAATACTTTTTAATATAGGCTATTCATAAGATTTGGCTTCTGAAAAATGTCTTTAATATTTGCATTTAATAGCTTTAATACCTTAATACTTTAGGCAAACACACCATTCACCACCTTGCCTAGTATGAATGCGGTTTGTGCGTGAATGACTGATTGGTAGTGGTCGGAGTGGAGAAGCTGACTATGGCGCAAAATAGCAGCCGCGTCCAGAAGGGCAGCTGTGGCGAGTGTAGTGGATGAATAAAGACTACAGTGTAGCTCTATGAGAGGCTGTGGAAAGCCATTACAAGGCGTCGGAAATGTTATTTTTGTAGCCCCAGGTCATAAATTGAAAATACTGGTCTTTGCTGTCCTCTAGTGGTGATCATGTGTAAGTGCATCTGTGTGCTATTTGCCTCCAAACCAAGAGGGGGCGCAGGGTCGTTTGTCTGATTGTTGTTTTTTGACCAATCACAGGTTGTTGCCTTTTCAAAGAAAAGCGGGCTCTGCTTTTTGGACTAATGAGACATCTGTGACTTTTAATGCGAATATAGGGCTTTATGTAGATTTTACTTAGCATATATTACAGTCTTATGGCTAGTTTTAACTTAACCATTGTTAATCGGTGTTAGTCGTCGTTTTGTTTGCGTAGTTGTGTGCGTCGTCTTCCATATCTGTGCTATCCGTGCTCTTTTACGTAACATTATAAACAATCATGAAGTTCCTGAAGACATATGGAAAGCAGAAAACAAAACTATCCGCCTGGGTCTCCATTCAGGATCGTAAACAGGTTTTTGACAGCACCTCCTCGTCTTCTGAGTTTGATGCCTCCACAGTCCATGCGTCAAAACCTTCACGGAGGCGGTGAGGACAAACCTGAAACGTAAAACTGTGATTTTTTTTTTTTTGTGGGTTTGTGTTTTAATTTTCAATCCTTCCCACTGCAGTAAGAGAAATAATGTTAAAAAGAAGAAAGTCGCAGCTTTACTTGATAGTAAAGATGAGGAGAATGTATTTTCACATCCCCTGCCACCTTCAAAGACGACAGCTCCGTATGGACTTTAATGGATTACGCTGGATCTATTCGTCAAAGGCTTAATGTCTTGTTTATCTGACGTTTGTCTCTTTTTTTTTTTTCCTTAGACGAAAACCAGGTATGACTACAGTAGCTCGTAAAAGAAAACATGTATCTCTGAGCAGTGATGAAGAAAATATTGCACCAACAACTCAGAATCTGAAGGCATCTAATCAAAGGGGAGCAAGGTATGTAGACTTTTGATTTGTCAATAACTTATCAGTCTAAATTTGAACGAGAATATCTTGGATCAGTGGTCTCAAATGTTAAACTAATACTTACCATTTTAGGATGATCAGACCCAGGACAGTCCCAGTTTTGACGCCTGGGTCCCATGTCCTTGAAGATTTATCCAAAACCATTGAGTTTTCACATTTTTAAGGAAATGTCCCAGATGCTCTGTTTTTTACCCAATTTGATACCCACCAACAGTAAAGAGAGGAATATATTGTCATTTGTTTGTTAAAATGCAGAAAACCATGCTTGAAAATGACCATAAGAAAATAATGAACAATGCTATGCACTCTTTTCACAGTTTATTTATATCAATCATCCCAACTGGTGTTTCCCAATTTTGAACCCTTCACTTACCTAATGAACACTTCGTTGCAGGAGAAAGAAGTCCAAGGTATCCAGTGATAATACCCCAAATCACCACACTGATGAAAATAGGTGTCCACTTGTGCCCCATCAGAGCAGGTCGGTACATACTTTGTGTGATTATAGGTCCAGACAATTCTAAAACTCTGCATTACTGGCCGTATGGATTGTCCCTGAGCATTGAACCTTTTCTTTTTTCATCAGTGGCATTAAGTCAGGATCTCTTGTAAGAAAAAAGGAGTCATCAGGGAAAGAAACATCAAGAAATGGGCTGCAGGACAATACTGTTCAAAAAGACACTCTGTAAGTACTGAATACAGTGTTTCCCATTAATACAAGAAACTGGTGGTACCCCATAGTCTAAAATAACCTGAACTATATATTGGCATAACAAAATTAGACTTTGTTGCTCATTGCATTAGCATACAGTTATAAAAGAGTGTGCATTGGTCAAAAATTACTGCTTGAAGATTAACTGTAGGCAGCATGGGACATTTATACTCCACAAATTGCATGAGATGAAATTATTCAAATAAAATCATTTGTGCCACCATAATCTTAACAAAATATATGGAAATTTGTTTGTGCCTTTATTTTTGTGAGGTTGACAGTTTTTTTTTGTCCCCTTTTTTTGCCCCCCCCCCCATCAGTGTTCGTCTTCCATCTGCTGGACGCTTTGTTACTCGTAGGAGATGTGCTGTTACCTCTAATTCACATCTGGTCATTTTAAACTCCTCTGACGAGTTTGCTCCATTGAGACGTTCCAGTCGGATCAACTGTCCATCAAAGAGAAGATTCCCTCCAGTTTTCCTTGAATCGAGTGCAGACAATTCTGTAAATGCAGCAGTACATCGGAGCTTTGCCACAAATCCACTTCCAGAAATTTCCCTCAATGAATCAGTGGAAAACACCCTTGGACCATGTTCTCGAAAACCAATTTTTTGTTCCACACCTTCAGCTGCTCCCTTGAACAGAAAATCAAAGCTTAAAATTTTCAATCCAATCACTAGCCCTGCGTTCCATTTCAGTTAGTTGTATAGCTCACACATCTCCACAACAAGCTTCACAATTTGAGCCCTCTGTTGAAAAACAATCAACTCTCAACGACTTTCAGAAACCTTCACAACTGCATCAAGAAGAGATGTGCAATAGTTTAGTCATTACCTACTCAAAGCAAGCAAGCCTCAGTAGGTCAAGCCAAAGCCAGTGTGGAGACGGGCACCCGGGAAGTCCAAGTCTACCCAGCATGATCACCATAGGCAGTGATATCAGCAGTCATTTCACATCTGCCTCTGGAGAAATAGACTGGCTCACAGATTTTCTCAAAGAGAAATGCTTGACCCAGCTTTGTACTGTGCGCCTGGAAAGAATTGAAGACCTAATTCAGCTTTTTAGCGAAACAACCTATTCGTCATGTTTGGGGGATTTGGGGCCTGTATGTAGTTCGATTAGAAAAGAGCATTCACTTTCTGTAGCTACAAGCCACAACTCAGGCAATGCTAAGGACTCAGAGCTCCCAAGCAGCCCTAAATTAGCTGTGACACATGATGTCTTAACATCTCTTGAGAGCTCCAAGTCTTCTGCACCAGATATTGCGCACAGCCAATGTGCACAGCCTTTAATGTCAGACGACCGTATGCAGTCTGAGCACAAATCTACCATAGATCTCTTCAGTGAATCCACCAACAGCTGTACAGACGTAGTTGACACGCAGGTTCAAGATATGACAGAGGAGTTGTCTTTAATAATAAAGAGCAAGTGTCTTTCTCGGGAATGCTCAGTCGAGCTTACAAAGCTGCCTCGATCAAGTATTGAGAAGCATCTGACACCTGGACCAAATGTTGGTGAAAATGAGTGCTCAGTGGTCGGTCAGTCACACAACAACACTACTGTGTCTGAGTCTCAGCGGAATGAGACACAAACTGAGGCAGCTGAACATACCAGAGAGTTGAAGAACTGCTTAGACCACAAACCTATTGTTAAGATAAAGAAAATGTCAATTACAAAAATAAAACTCAAATTGCAAGAGGATGGACAGAAGTGCATCTAAACTGATTTGTGAAGAGACAGAATATGTGGGTAATTGCACCATGGCCAGTCCTGAAGACACTAGTATTGGAAAGAGAACATCATCTAGTTCAAATGACAGGGATGGCTCAAAAAAGTCAAGCAGCAGACAGAGCAGCAAAAGAAAAAAAAAATCAATGGCAGCAAAAGAGAAGGACCACAGAACATCCACCCACCGACCCGGAACCACTAGAAAAGCTTGTGTTAGTGGACTGAGTGTGAGCCGTTGGAAAAGCAGAGATGCCTTCACAAACGCAATTGGACCCAGAGGAGGTACTAAGACCATGGACTGCAGCATCAATGAGCTGATCCCAAGTCAACACAGACGACCAATGGTGAGAGAACTGTAAAGAGAACTGTAAAACACGGTCTTGGTGAATTGGTAACACTAAACTGACCCTAGTGAATGAATGTCTCTTATATCTGTCAACCCTGCTGTGACTAAGAATATGTAAAGTTTTATATGCTTAGGCCTGTCACGTTAACAAAGTTTGAAGTGTGATATATTGCTGAAGAAAATATAGGTGATAAACAAAAAGCAGAGTATGCCTAAAGAAGTATTCTAAATGTGCAATATGGTTAAAAAACAAATTGCATAAATTTTAGAATAAAACACTAATTACTCTGTGTCTATAATGAGTCACAGCAGTCATTTATCCAGCCAGTTACAGCTCAAAGCTCATTGTAGTACAGAGTAAAAGTAAAAGTAAAAAAAAAAAAGGTAACAATTTTTTAGGGTCAATATTTACATCTATCATGTATTCAAAGATAAGAAGATATAGCAATTGTTGGGACAAGGCTATATACAGTATGAATTTTAACACCATAATCACAGTTACACAACTTTTCCCTTTTTAGAAGCTGACTGATATCAGTAAGGATTTCTGTACTCCAGTCAAAGGCCACAACCTCAGCCTCTCTTCTCTTTTGGCTGAAATCACTCCCAATACACACACCTGGAGTCGCCTCAAAGCTGCGCTCTCCGTTCACCGCAAAGGTACTGCACGCAGCACACAATAGTTGAAATGATGGATTGTAAATTTAATTGTGCCTTCTTCACAACCGTGCAGTCATTCTTACTCCAAAGACTCCTGGGCCTGGCATGCCTTTAAAGATCGCTATGGCAGACTTAAGCCAGGATCTGTTTGCTACTCCACATCGGACCCCTCTTCTCAAACGTCGACGGTCACAGGAATCTCAGGTAAATACACTGTCAAAGTTCAAGTCCAGATCTTTCATTACAAGAAAGAAGATTTTAGGATGTAATGTATATTGTAGATAATCATGACCAAATATTATCATTTATAATATAAATTTTGCTTCTCCAAAATCAAAAGTCAAACTGGGGTTGAAATATGACTTTGTACTTTGTGTTAGACATGTATCCCTCAAGAGTCTCTAAATTGCTTAATCATGTATCTTCTGTCATTTCGGTTTGTAATCCAGCTTGTGTTTGACAAGGATGAGATGTCAGATGCAGAGAAGGTGTATGCAGAGTGTGGGCAGCAGGGTCCTGTGGCCTGGGATGAGTGTCTCCTGCCTCAGCGCATGAAACAGTGTGTTAAAATAGGCGAGGGCACCTTTGGAGAGGTCTTCTCTACAACAAGTGGAAAGCCTGACGGAGAGATCGTCGCCCTCAAAGTAAGACCATGAGGTTACAGTGTTTATAGGAGTTGTGACCATACTGAGTACCTCCTGTCTTGACAAGGTTATACCAGTAGAGGGCAGTGAAAAGGTGAATGGAGAGGGGCAGAAGACCTTTGGGGAGATTTTGCATGAAATTATTATCTCAAAGTAGGTGATATTATAAGATTATTTTAAAATGACTCGCTAAGAACAAAATGTCATTAACATTATATAATTCCACAGGGAGCTGAGCTGCCTGGATAAGAAAGAGAAGAATCAGACCAGTGGCTTCATTGGCCTCAGAGAGTAAGTCCTGGTGAAATTCACATTTCACTTACTAAAGGTGCACTGTGTAACTTTTCTCGAGATATTGCCTGGAATGTTCCACAGTATTGCATTACAGTTGTTTATCTCTATGGACGCAGCTGGTGACACCTAGTTACATGTCATATCAGTGGAGAGGCAAGCCCACTCATAGTATGAATGCAGATTTTAGGCCAATAACAACCCATGTTATTGAGTAAATGCAGCATGGATACGTTTAATGCCGTACTGGGACATTCAAGACAAAACCATAAGATCTCCATGGAGGCATGCAGGTGGCAGATCAGAGCACTTTTATTTTGAATGTTTATTGGATATTCTTTTTCTAGTCTCCACTGTGTAAAGGGCTGCTATCCTCCAGAGTTCCTCAATGCATGGGACAAGTTCGACAAACAAAAAGGTTCTGAGAATGACAGGCCAGGTTAGAAAATCACTTGTATTCTGTTGTATCCTACACTATCCTACACTAGGATGCCTACACAAGTATCCGTTCACATTATGCATTTTCATATATTCTCTAGATTTCTTTGAAAATGAGCAACTGTTTATTATTCTGGAGTTCGAGTTTGGAGGCACTGACCTCGAGAACAGCGATGGAACGGTAAGCACACTGCCCAGAAGAATGTCTCAATGTGGCAAAACCATATTTTGAACCTAATGGAGAGTTGTCATTCTCCATTATGTTAATAATATGGTAATGAGCGATGACAACTTGTTATGCTACATAGCACTACAGCCTTTAATATACAAATGAGCCGTTTGACACTTTGGCAAAACTGATGGGTAATGTGTAAGTTGTTTTTAATGGGCTTGTATCAGAAGTTAAACCAGTAATTTATACAAAATTACTGACCAATATATCAATATTAAACATACATTGAGTATTTCTGACACTGAATGCAGAATTGTCTTATGTATTTCTTCAATTAATTTTTTTCTTTTAAGTTGTCGTCAATCACAGTCGCAAAGAGCATTCTTCATCAAGTCACTGCAGCACTTGCTGTAGCTGAACAGGAGCTGCAGTTTGAGCACAGGTAAAAACAAACAAAATTGGACAAAAATGAGATGTTTCTTATTGGTACGACCACCTACCTTCATGATGCTCTAATTTAGTAGTATGCCTGTAGCAGCTGCCTTTCTGAGATTGTTATGCTCCGCATACAATCATCCTGTAATAATAATTATTTTACTTGTGTGTTGTGTTCAGAGACCTACACTGGGGAAATGTGCTGGTCAAAGTGACTAAGGACAAGACGGCAGAGTTCAGTCTGAATGGGACAGTGCACTCTCTGGAAACCAAAGGAGTGCTTGTCCGCATCATCGATTATTCTCTCTCCAGATTAGAAATAGGTCAGAAAAGTTTCTGTCTGCACATTTGTGGCTGTTTCTGTTCCCAAAGCCTGAGCCATGTTTTCTTGTTTTTAGATGAACTCACTGTGTCCTGTGACATTTCTAATGACGAGGAGCTTTTTATGGGTCAGGGGGATTACCAGTTTGAAATCTACAGACTTATGCGACAAGAGAACAGGTGAGTGCTTTAATGGTCCCTAAAATGCATTTCATCGACCAGCAATCTTTATTCCTAAATGAACTAATGTCGTAAATAATCACTGTTTGTCTTTTCGTGTGACAGCAATGAGTGGAGTAGCTATAACCCCCATTCAAATGTACTGTGGCTGCACTACCTGTGCTCCAAGCTGCTGGACATGAAATATCGTGGACGGGCAGGGAGGCGGAACAAGGACATGCGAGCCGAGCTCGCCTGTTTCTATGACAACGTCCTCCAGTTCAGTTCTGCCACAGAGGTGCTCCAGAACAGCCCGCTGTTCCAGTGAACGGGACTGTAGCAGTTTAAGAGTGAACAAAGTGATAGACTTCTAAAGAGGCTTCCTCTGTCAGCAGTCCCCCCTCCCCCGCCCCCTCGACCTCTGATCTGTAAAGACACATTATTGATTCCTCTGTAACATAATGACACCAATGAAGGTCACCCACTGCTTAGTCGACTGTAAATGGCGGTACAGAAAAAGGTTATTAAATTCATCTTGTTTCTTACTTTTTTCCTTAATTTTTTTGTCTTGGGGTTTATCATTTTATTTTTGGGAAATTATGACGGAAGTGACAACGTAATATGAAATTAATTACTAAAATTGTTCACTTAGTTGATTTAATTTGCAGTCCACAAGGACTGAGTACTTCAAGGTCTTATATGGTGGATTATTGTATCCAAATCCTAGAGAAAACTTCCCCTAAATGTATAATGCTTCATGACTGTATGCGCCCTCACATTTTGGACTGAACTAATGCAATAAAAGTAATTCTAATTTTAGGACTGTTCATAAAACTGCTTCTAAACCTATAACAAAATTTACAAAACACAGAAAAACAAAATATTTTATTTATTAGTACATCAAGATTATTATACATTTTGCATCAAAACAAGCTTTGTTTTGGTATGGTAGGTTGCGTGTTTCATATAACAAGGATCTTGATTGATTATGCTATGAATACAGTCTGTACATGAAGAGTAAAAACATAGCCTGCGATTGTATGAAGAAATCAGCCATTTAAAAAAGGAAGACAACTTTAAAAAAAAAAAAACAATGAAGACTTCCCAAACTATACAAAGATCCGACAGGCCCATGACTTAAGAGGTCAGGCATGTGTTGGAGAAGCACTTTTTGGTTGAGCTTAGAGGCAATGTCAGAGATGGTCTTGCTGGTGATGAGTCCATAAGTGTTAATGTCGTATCAGTCTGTGCTTGAGTCAATTTCATCTGGATGTAGGAAGCAAATGGATGTTTACAAGAAGCAATGGACTGCATATGATTACATAGAAATTGCAGCTACTTTTGTGTGCATTTGTGCTCAGAAGGAGAAGTATTTGGTATACCACTCCTGTTTTAGACCCTCAGTCCCTCTAGGCTCCAGATACGGACCCCTGGAAACAAAACAAAACAAAAAGCATCTTAATTATAATATACATATTTCTATTATCAAAATATGGTATGAAAATGCAAACATTTGTATCAATCAGAATGCATCATGTTATATTCTGATTCTAGCTTTCTCATTTGATCCACAAATAGTATTACGAGCAAATGCAGCTCATCTGATTTGACCACACTCAAAAAAAGTGTTCACTGTCTGATAAAAAAACTATGGTAACTGGTAATACGCAAAAACTAAAAACATTACTAAATCAAAGTTGCTCCTAATCTTTGACAGATCCATGACTAAGTAAGAACAACAATGAGCCATGGGTTATGCACAGCGAAGTCACAGAACATCACAAAACTGCGTGAAAGCTACGTAACACACAGAAGTTCTTTTTGTTCCGGTTTTAAATCCTCGATCTCGGGAATCGTTGCCAACACAGAATGTATGGCTTTGTCTACATCCATCTCAACTGCTTTGTTTACTGTTGTGCTGTACCACAAAAGGGACCCAGCCAGGCTCTTGAGTTTGACGTCATGGCCAGTGCGCGGTCTACAACTTCCGAGGTTCTTGCAAACTGTCTAGTGCATTCCGATTCCTGACCTAGTCGCTGGAGAGAAATGAAATTGAGCAGAGGCACTAGGTGGCACCAGCCTGGCTAGAAATTTGGGAGCCTGGGACAAGAAGCTTCACATGGGGCCTCTTCTAATGTAAATTAATAGGAAAAGGATCCAATTCTGAGTCCCTACAACCCTGGGGCCCGGGGTAACAGACCCCTTTGCCCCTCCCCCGTCTACTGCCCTGACTATTTGTGCTTTTTAGCACAGGAGTTAGCCACTGAAATTCTCACTAACAGTGGTATAAAATAAAAAAGCCTATACCACAAACTCAAACTGTGCATGTTAAAGGCAATTTTATGTTTCACTGAGTAAAAAAACACCAAAAGCATCATTTACCTGATTGATTGTAGGTGTGGATCGAGGCATGAAGGGGACACATATCTGATGCCCGTCTGCGATGAGGGGCACACGGGGAGGGGGGCAGTGGGTGCTGGGGTTGCAGGGATGCAGGAGGAGCGTGACCTGGTGGAGCGCTGGAGCGAGGGGGAGGAATGCTGGCCCAGGGAGGTGTGCTTGTGTGGGAGAGAGGAGGTGGAGTAGTGGGTGGCTGTCTGGGGGTGAGAGGCATGTGTGTGGGGCAGGGTGGAGGAGAAGTTCGGGTGATGGGAAGACGAGGTGGAAGACGAAGAAGAAGAGTGGAAGATGCTTCGCTCGTAACTGCTGCCGGACATGCTGGTGACACGAGGGGAGTCCACGTTCTTTCGCTGGTAAAAGAAAAAACTGTCAAATTTTAGTTCATATATGTATGATTAAGGAAATGCTCCGCTGTGTTTTTAAACTCCATAAACCTTCAGCAGAACCATTTGGATAATTTCAGCCATAAAATTGACAATCTCTACTGAACCAAAGGTAAAAATCAACGTTAACTTGAAAATTATCGCTTTAATACATCACAAGGATTATGCAAGCATGTGTGAATGAAGCAAAACACAACAGCAGGAATGTTTTTGATGAAGTAACAACATTCAAACATGGCTTAAAGCTCAGAAGAGTCAAGAATATATGACCTTTAAGAGCAAAAATGTCATCAAAAGTACATAAAAATACAAATCAATATTATGGTGGTATTTTCTGTAGTGAGAAAGCTTTATGAAGTTATGACAACTTATGGGAGTCGATGTAACTTCTTGGTAATGAACAATGCTGAAATGCTGAAAAGTGTTGGTCTTTGAGTAAATTCATTAAAGAATATGAAATAATTAAAGTATATTATTTGTCTCTTTGTAATACGTATTGTTGGGGTAGGCATTGCTAACAGTACAGATGGTGGTTAGAGAGAAATGAGGTCCCACAAATGAATATCTGAATTTCCCTAATTATACTCGGATGATTTAAAGTGTTCTTGGTTCCGTTAGGTTTGTCATTTTATAGTGCTATTTATGAGGCCAGCTGGTCCTTGATCACTTACCCAAATCTGAAAAAATTATGTAGGCAAATTAATGCACATTTGATGATGCGCTCGGTCACAGCTCCGCATTATAAAACACTGAAAATATTGGGGGTTTTTTTAAGTTTAGAATTTAAACAGTGTAGATATCGATACTTTGCAGCTGATCATCAACATTCCCTCGGGATGTGAAGCCAGAGGTGGGACCAAGTCTTTGCAAGTCTCAAGTCTCAAGTCTTTAACCTCAAGTCCAAGTCAAGTCCCAGGTCAAAGATAGGCAAGTCCAAGTCGAGTCTTGAGTCACTGGCCCATAAGTCCAAGTCAAGTCCAAGTCGTCTGCTTTGAGCTTCAAGTCATTTCAAATCCATAAAACAAAGTACCAAATATAGTTTAGATTTTTGCAATTTATGACTTTTAAGATAAACTGTACTTAAAAAAATCATAGAATATTTTTACAGTGTATATATATATATATATATATATATATATATATATATATACACACACACACACATTTATAGAGTATATATATATATATATATATATATATATATATATATATATATATATATATATATATACACACACACACACATTTATAGAGTATATAAGAGATGTAGAATTTAATTTAGTAATTTTTTCCTTTTTAAATGTCTTGACAAGATCTTAGTGTGAATCATTATGGTCAAAAAAGAAAGAATTCAGATTTAAAAGTGTTTCTCAAGTCTTCTCAAGTCACAGGCCTCAAGTCCGAGTCAAATCCCAAGTCACTGACCTTCAAGTCCATAGTCGAGTCCCAAGTCTTAGTCCATTTTATCAAGTCAAGTCTCAAGTCCTAAAAATAAAGACTCAAGTCTGACTCGAATCCAAGTTACGACTCGCAAGTCCCCACTTCTGTGTGAAGCAAACTGAAAGCACTGCTCTGTTAGAAACTCTCAGACTTAATCTGATCTTTATTTAACACAATCTGACAATAAAAAGAGCTGACTTAATTGGAACTACAACAGGTGAGATGATTTGTGCACTTAAATAACAAACTTTAGTTGAAAATCCAACAATGAACACTTGTTTTGATCATGGGCTCCTGAAAATGTGTTGTTTAATTCCATTTTCTTGATTTCAATTTTTTTTACATTTACATTTTGTCCGTGTTTGCTAATGTAGCCTATGCATTGTGTCACCATGGTAACTGAACATTTCGCCAATACAGACACAAGTATAACACGCCCAGCGCAATGTCATTGCAAAGTATCAATAGAACAGGTTTGTTGACTGAAGTTGTGACCAAATCCTCTGTCAGAAACGTTCACACACGAGTTAGTATTCCAGTTACATGCCAAGATACCAGGGGCCCTCACACTACGATACATGCGGTTAGTGGATGATCTGAACAGACCATCGTACCCTCATGGTTGGCGTGACACTTCCAGGGCGGGACTTGCTGTCACGCTGCCCAGGGCTGTTGTTGTCCCCGGCAACAGGAGGAGGGTGGAGCTGCAGCTGATGCCTCTCTTCCTGGAGGCAAGGAGGATGAAGAAGGACTTTTCAATGGCCTTATTCACAGTTGTTGTTGTATTGACGCAGGTCTTGAGGCTGTACTTGTTTGCTAAGCTCCCTCATGCCGCACAGATGGCAGGCAGAGGAATTTGGCACTGGATGCAAAAACTGCCTGTGCTCATGTGTCAGAAAAGATTTGTGAAAATAATTAGGAAGGCAGCTTGTTTTGTAAGACGTGTAGGCAACTGTAAGAAACAGTAATTAGAACTTTTAATAAATGCTTTAGTTAAACTACTCATACATCGCCCTGTTCTGCGACACTAAATTAAACTGACATAACGTTCCCCTGATATTAAGTGCTATAACGTTTAAGTTTTATCATTTAGAACTGCTTTCTAATCTAAATTTAGATCTAACATCTTTAAAAGGGCATTGGCCAGCCGCTGCCTTATTTGAAGGTTAAGGTTAAGGGTTAAGTTACAGTTTATTGTCCCTGTGGGGAAGTTTGTCCTTTGCATTTGACCCAACCTTCAGTGCTGCTAGGGCACCTCATCAGGAGTGGTGACCCATCTCTGTGTTGTTGTTGCTAGGCTTGGTCAGGACTACTTTCGCTGTAGGACTGTGCTTATTTTGCATGTTTTGGGTTGACAGCAGCTTTGTAGATTAAATGGTCAAGTTTTTATATAACGCTTTTCCCCTCAAAGCACTTTACATCGAGGAACCACTCTCCCATTCACACACCGGTGTAAGCAGACACTGGGGGCGGGGTGGGTTAAGTGTCTTCCCTAAGGATACAACAACAGTATTTTTCTGTGTGAGCTGGAATCACACTGCCAACCTATGTGTCAACAGATCCGACTGCTTAAATAATGATGTTTATGTCGAGTGCTGGGTTCGAATCACCAACCTTCGGATCAGAAGATGAACACTCTACCAGCTAAGCTACTGTCACATATTACTAGTTATGTTTTAGTAATTATTTGATCGTGCTATTTGGCTCAGTTGGTTTTACATTCCTGTTTTAGCTGTGCAGTGTGCTCAGCGAGGGATGGAGGTGGATTTACGAGTGGAACTGTTGGAGTGATGGGATGAGAGGAGCTTGTAGCAAAGCTTGTTGGAGACGTGTGTTCTTTTCTCACCACTAATCGTTTAATGAGCTGGTCCCTCTCTGTCAGTCTCTCCTGAAGTCTTCCCAACTGCAAATCCTCACATCGACTCTGTCTCCCCCTGCACCGCTCCTCCCGCTCACGCAGCCTGGAAGAACATCAAAAACATCAAATGCAGACAGCGCCCATTTTAGTACTTTTTATTTTATTTAAATCACATTGTGTTCTCCGCTGCTCAAACTGTCCCAATTTTTGGATAGTAAAGTTGACTTTAATTTACAGCTTAATCTGATTGAATGTTAATGACTGACCTTAATACCAGTATCAGTATGAGCATTATTTTATACCAATTTAAAGCTATTAAACTGTATGTGAACATAAGTAGAGACTGACTGCATAATGTAACGACGCATTTAAAATAATGCTTTTCTACTTCTTTTGGACAGCGAAACACAACATGAAACAACCATGCACCCATTTCCACACATTCATAATAGAGTTGTCAAAAGTATTGAAAATCTGATACAAATCGATACTAAAACCAATATCGAATCTAGCTACTCATTTAAGTAAATAACGATACTTAATAAATTACATAAATTGGATAAAACTTTACCTTTCTTGGACAGTTTTATGCTGAGTCTTATCAAAACGGTTTAAGACCACATGTTACTATTATTTTATATTAAAAATTACAATATTGTCTAAAAACTAGCTTTCAGAATCATCAGTATTGAGTATTGAGTCTTTAGTATCAAAAATCAAGTTTGAAATTTTAGTAACGTGACAGCACACCAATGTACGCAACCACACAAGGAAAGATGAGTGTGTTTTCTTAGGCCTGTCACGATAACAGATTTTGAAGTACGAACTATTGTGGAATAAAATATAGACAATACAAGATAATACTGATACTAATTGATTATCCACCCCCAAAAAAACTATACTAAATGTTCTAAACTGTCAGAAAAAAATGGGGTGCAATAGATAAATAGCACAAAATCACTTAATTATTAGTTTGTATCTATGAGTCACAGAAGTTATTTATTCAACCTTCTATAGCTCAAATCTGATCACAGAGCAGAAAAAATTACAAAATATCCCCCCAAATGCAAAGAAATTATACATACGATAAATAATGAGCCCAAAAAAATATTGTTCCAGATATATTGATCGAGAAAATATAGTAATTATGATGACAGGCCAATCAATATGCACTGAGGTCTGGTTTTCACTCACTCGTTCTCTAAGGCCACAATGCGCGCCTGCAGGTGTGACTGGGCGCTGCTATACTCCGACGCTAGACTCTGCAGCTCCCTCTTGTGCTCTCTCCTGATCTCCTCCACCTCCTCCCTCCTCCGCTCCTCCTCCCTCGCTCTCCTCTTCTCCTCGTCCACCTCTTCGTCCTTCAGATCGTCGTCCTTGCGCTCCTCCCAGTGCTTCTGAGACTCCTCTAGCTTCTCCATCTCCACGCGCAGCTTCTCCACCTCCTCCTTCAGGCGCTGGGCCTCCTCCTCTAGCTGAGCGTCGCGCTTTTTGTTCATTTCCGTTGCACTGTCCTCCTCCTCCTTCTTCTCCACCTCAATCTGCTCTCGTGCTGTCCTGATAGAAGCACACATTTGTACATGACTGCAATTCCAGACATAATAATAAATTAATAATAATACTAATGTTAGGAGCTCAAGTATCAAAAATTTTTTATTAAATAATGTAAAATATCTGCTGTCAACATGTATTTTAAGCATTTAAAGGCCCTATATTAAGCAAAACTGACTACTGTGAGCTTTAAGCCATGGTATAATGTTTTCTCCTCACTCACACATGTTAGAGCAATCTTTTACTATTGGTCTGGCTACATCTTCAAAGCTCAAATGATCCATTCCACCTTGTGGTGTCATGAAGCAGTAGTTTTGAAGTTAACACCTGCTTTTAACCTTTAGTTTGGTGGAGATTGGCAATTCCAGGGCTGAAATCATCCAAATTACTCCAGTAAAGATGTATCCAGTTTGGAAACATAGTGGAGCACTTCTTGTATTACCACATGGTATCACAATGTGGAAAAGAAAAAAGCCTAAATCTGCAGGGTTTGTGCGTAAAACACGTGTGAATGAAACAAAACACAACTCCAGGTATGTTTTTAAATCAGAAAATATGGGCTCTTTAAAACTACCAACTGTAATAATTGACCCACTCTGTTGTATTCTCACATTTGACCACTAGGTGTTATCTACATTATTGCTGTCTGACAGAGTTACAGAAGAAGACCAGAGATCACAGGTGAGTTTGAACAAAGGCCAGGTGAGGGAAGGGGGAACAGGTGCTGCATTAAATTAACAGTAATTATTAACAGTTACAATTCATACCAGTAATATGATGTATAATTATTAGTTTAGTTATTGGCCAAGTAGGTGTATTTTCCTCCATAAGCAATAAATACATTCTTACTTTTCCTTGAGTTGCCTCTTAAGCGTTGCATTTTCTCTCTGCAGTTCCAGCACGGCGCAGCGGCTCTCGTCCAGCTGTCTCTCAAACACCTGGTACTGATTCTGCTGCTTCAGATCCTTCGCAGATCACACACAAAGCCATACAACCACATTTAACCACATATAGTCCATAGTCAGTGTGGGCATGTGCCTAAGAGCTCAAATCTTGCATTCCACATCCAGTCTCCACTCTGCCTAATTATGCAGAACAGTCTGTTGGCTCAAGCCCAGTGGTATCGAGGATTACACGCGCTGAATAATAATGTCAGTGTCGATTTTGTGGACAGAAATGCACTTTAACGAATATGAAAACGTATTGAATAAACGCTAGAAAATGCATGTGACCTGTTGTAGCGCCATCATCTGGGTGTGTGCTTGTAATTGCGCTTGGAGGTCCTCTATTTGCTGCATATGTCTCTGAGTCATCTGCCTGCTCCACTCGGTGTGCTGTTGGGTCAGTTCTGCACGCTGCTTATCTGAAATCACACAAGCATTCACAATGGAAAAAAAGGAAAAAAATAAAATAAAAAATCTAAATCAATTCAGTCTACTGTTACAGGTACCCTTCTGCTGTTGCCATGGTGAAGTGTATCCATGGCAATAGCAACTTCACTGGTGAATTGCCCGAATCTCGATGTGCATCGCAGTGTGTTTGGGAGCTCATTAATCTCTGCAGCTGAATATGCTGTTTATGCTATGGGTTATGTGAAAATGTCATTGTATCGAGTTAAATTTGTTATACTGTACAAGTATAAGGAAAGTAACTAAACACATGTACCGAGAATAATGCTAAAGAGAATAAAATAGAATCGACTATGTGACTAGGGAAAATGTTTAAAGTTAATGAAAGCACAAGAGAGATATTGTAAAAATACTGTACATATGGCTCATTGGTGACTTGGTTTGGTTTTGGATTGATTATTAAAGTAATGTTTATTTATAATTTTGTTTTGTTTTTTATCTGTGAAAGGAGCAGGGTTTATAAGATTTACTGCTTCCTTTTCCTTTTGCAAAAGACAAGGCTAATAATGGTTGGAATATGTATTTATATTAATTGTCAGATTTGTTGTTGTTATTGTTCTCTTTAAATTGATGTCAACAAAATAATAGCATGAGCAATAAATAAATAAATAATATGTAGGCCAATTCAGAATATTGATTTTGAGTAACTGTGTTCTGGTAGTTTTTTTTTTTTTTTTTCATTTGGTTGTATTCAGAAGGCAGTTACTTTACAAAGTCAAAGGAATACATTACACTATTTGATCATGTAATTTAGGATTTGTAATTTAGGATTCAAATTGCACAATATGAGTGAAAAAAATAGTCAACTATGCTCTTGTTGTGAGGCATGTGTGATTTTTCCATCTCAAATGAGTGAAAGGAAATGCTTTAAAAACAGTGAAACAAATATAAAGCTGTTTTAATACTGTTTTGTCTTTACACTATAATTTAAATGCAACTCCTTAAAAGTTTTATAAGCATTCAGAATACAGTACTCTGATTAAACCATGTGTCAGAACATGTTACAAAATACATTTTAATGCAATAATTAAATACTAGTACATTTTCCAAGTATTCTTCCCACCACTGGTTATACATGGATATAAGTGTGCATTACCTAGTTCCAAGTGGTGCATTGTTTGTAGTCTGTTTCTCTCAGACAAAACATCTTCTTTCGCCTTTCTCTCCAGCGCCTGCAGTGCCATGGCGTGATTGTGTCTCTCCTCAGCCAGCGATTGGCTCTGAGGTTCCTTCAACACACAGAAACAATACATCCATATATGGAACAGTGGAGATGGCATCGACATATTGTCTTTCAGCACTGCTATCAAAGCTGCTGAATTATTAAAACAGCAGAGCAAACCTTTTGGCGGACAGTGAATGTAATTCTTATACATGTGTGCCTCATGGGTGTGTACCTGCAGAAGCTCTCTCAGTTTCTTGTTTATCTCCTTGGTGTCTTGGACCTCTTTTCGGAGCTTGTCAATCTCAGGGTTTACGTGGCAGTCGTCTCCAGAACCAGCTTTCTTTTTCTCCATCTGTGAATAAAGTAAGCCGTGGGATTAATCTGAAGATTTTGAATATGCAGCAAAGACTGTCTTCAAAATTTCTATGTTGGCAATGACTAAACTGCAGTCACAAGGATGCTGGAGTCTACCCCCATAGACAATCTGACTACCCCTGCAACTATAGGCCTTAGACTGGATATTACACTACACAGATAACCATTCACATACAGCTGAGTACTTTCAAAACAATCAAATGAAAAGCAGTTGTGTTGTTAAGTAGTTATGCAAAAAGATGTCCAGGTCAGATGGAGCTCACCTGTGCCTGCAGCTCCTTCACTTGTGCCTCCAGCTCCTCGATGTGGCTCTGCATGTCCTGCTCCTGAGTTTGCCATCTCTGCTCAGTCTCTGCCACTGCAGCGTTCATCTCAATCCTAAACTCTGCTCTCAGGCGATCCTCACACTCTGCCCTGAAACACACAAAAGCACAACAGATGCACAAACAACTTTAAATATTCTGTATCAATATTTTTACATATTGATACTTTACAACTGATGTTACAAACATTCCCTTGGGGTGTGATGCGAACGCAGTGCTGTGCCTGAGGCTCTGTTAGACTTTAATCTGAGTTTTGTTTTAACACAATCTGGCCAGAAAGAACTGATTTAGCTGGAACTAAATTATAGCAGTGTATATCATTATGCACCAGAGGTAGATTTTCAAAACTGGCTACAAAGATTTAAAAGACAAATAATAACATGTAGATTATGATTGAGGCTTCTACTGTAGCTACTATTGTTCAAGTGTATTTCCTGTGCAGAGAGACAACCTTGTGACCGGATTTAGCCTTGTGTAATGGAAGCCTCCATCAGAGCTTGTACACAGTGAGTGATAATGTTACTTCCGGGTCCGACCAGAAACTTCACGGTTGATTTGATTTTTAGCTTTTTCCCACTTATTTCTCAAACAAGAGACAATTATCTTTCAAAGGCTCATGTTTAAGCACTAATTCTATCAGATATGTAAATTACATACTAATAATCTATCATAACATAACCTACCCTAGTACCCGCAATCTTCCTCAAACACCTCCCTCAGTTATAACCATCGAGCCAATCTCATAACCTTTAAAAACAACTTTAAACGACTGCATCTCATTTTAATGTGAGATTTGTTGTTGCAATAGTCTGTATATATAAATGGACATGGCTAACGTGCTAGCCTCTGCGTTCCAAATAAGAAGCGAGCATGGGGGCACTTCCATCTACACTGACTCTTTTTCCAACTGATTTTACTAATACATTATAAAACTGTCACCCCCCTCTCTGTAACTGCTGCACTAAACCTCGTCATTTTGATTTTAAATGTCTGTATTAATCTGCTCTACATGATGGTGTTTTTATTTAGCTATTTTTTTTACGTAAATAAATTCCCAATATAGAACTCAGCCCCAAATTTGCTCCTATAGCTGCTGGGCATCGTGAGCTTCATTTGATAAGAGCCAAACACTATGGGTGACATACTCCCTTAATCCACTTCTTTATAGAGTTTTTAGTTGTCACTAAAGAGAGAGGAAATTGTAAACATGTTTATTGTCTTCAATCAGATGATGGACCCGGACGTGACATCTCACTTACCAACACTACAGTGTTACCTGATCCGGTCCTCAGTCATCCTCTGGCTCTGCTCTAGGAGGCTCCTCTCTGTGTTGAGTCTGCTCTGCTCCAGCACCTTCTCCTCCAGCCTGTGCTTGTCTGCCTTCAGGGTGGTGATCTCGCGTTGCTGTCTGTCCCTCTGTCTCTCCGCCTCCTCCTGGATCCGGGCCAGTTTGGAGCGGGTCTGGTGGAGCTCTTCTTCCATGTGGGAGCACCGCGAACCACATGTGGGAAGGACGTCTGGAGCTTTCTCTTTCTTCTCCTGCTGCTGGAGAAGCACTGCCTCTAGTCGACATATCTACAGACAAGGACAAACACAGACTTTATTAAATAGTCACTCATTTCTTTAAATTTTTATATAGCATTTTCCACTTTCAAGGCACTTAAAGCACTTGATCACTTTAAATAAGACACTGGTGTACACAGACATTGAGGGCAAGGTGGGTTAAGTGTCTTGCCCAAGGACACAATGACAGCTTTCCTCTGTCTCTCTACTGGTTTTGTGATGATTTGTACTTCAAGTCTTTACTAAATCACATCTCTTATTTGCTGTGAACATATGGGGATCAGTCTATAATGCTATATTTATACTCTCCAAATATATATATATATATATATATATATAGGGCAGGATGATATAAATAATTTTTTTTTTCCTTAATTTGATCAATCATGATTTTCATTTCAATAAAAAATTAAATGTTTATCAATATTAATTTGCTGAACATAAACAATACAGACTTTTAATCACAAAAAACCCACAAAAATTCCTCCATTAAAGTCTGAACTCTGCTCCAAACCACATACTTTTACTGACATGATTGGCTATAAACCTCTTGATGAAAAAGACTCAAGCATATCATTGACAATTATAAATGGCAGAATCTCAGTCTCCGTTAAAATTGGATTAATTGCAGAGCTGCATAAAGTTTTGATCATTTTGAGTTATTTAACTATCTCAAACATAACATCTTACATAGCAGCTCACATAAAATCTGTAATAAAAATTATCAAAATTACCTTTAACCAAGACTTATTTTTATTCATTGGCATTGACACTATTCGAGCAGATACCATGGTCTATTTTTGAACACTAATGCATGACTTTATTGTATTTTTATTATTTACGGTATTTTATGATAACCTGTGAAGCACTTTGGTCAATTGTGGCTGTGGCTCAGATGTAATTGATTAATTGATTGAATATAATGTGTGTATCTGTCTGACCCTCCAACCAACGCTATTACATGGAGTCAGAAGGAGCAATGGGTTCTTCAAACAAAGACTCGCCTAAAGATCTTGAGGAACATGCATGGTTTTAGTTCATATGTGAATTTGGAGGACACAAACACCACAAACAAATACCCCACAGTGATGGTAACACCAAGGACTTCCATGGTTATTTGATCAAAGACAATTTAAAAAATCTAAAATGAGACCATTTTCATATTTGCAGACCATGAAACAGTCACTGGGAAATTCAAGTTTTACTGCAGTAGGGATGCATCGATACTGATACTGGTATCAAATATCGGTGGTGATACTGAAAAATTTGCTGGCTCAGGTATTGGTTCCATGATATTGGTTCAACTGATACCCTGGATGTAAAAAGACTCACAATGTACTTGAACTTTTATTCATATAAAGATGTTCAGTAGTTACTTGAAGGATAAATAACAGTTACATAACACAATTGGATCTCTTATGTAATAATTTAACTGTGTTTTCAGAAAATCAGTGCCATTTTCTGTCCCTACACTTCTATTGTTTAATATCAGGTATCGGCTTATATTTAAAGGTCAAGTATCGATATCAGTATTGGACATGAAAAAGCTGGATAGGGGCGTTAGTCGTTACTAATTTTTGTTTTCAACTCACCTCCGTTGTTGAGTCCTTGAGTTTCATCCTAACCTCCTCTAACTCCTTCTCCAGCCCACTGCAAAGCTCCTCACTCTTCCTCCTCTCTTCATCCAAACGCGCACAAACCTTTCAGGAATATTAATCAAAAATAATCACCATCACAACCATGCCCTCTGGCTGGTTAATTCATCCCAGCTATCATCTTCTTATCATCCCGCTTAATTAATAGCCAGTCACAAAGAAGTGCACATAACCAGGCTTAAAGGCAAAGCAATTACATGATACCATCTCTACATTAACACTGCATATTCAAATTATTCATTAACTGTGGTCTTTTAGCCTTAGTGCATGAGTCAAACTGAATAAAGAGATTGCGCAGATCCAGATCTTGTTTGGTGAAATGGCGTTACTGAGCATGCTCAACAGTTTGCTTTGAGGGGAACATATGTGGTTCACACAGAGAGAGCATTAGTGCCACAGCAGTGTGACGGGATGAAAGAAGACATAACACAGCGGTTGTATACACACCAATTAAACACACACACACGCGCTACAGCTAAAGTAATTAAGCCCAAAGATGAATGAGGAATTAAGGAAGCATGCAGCCTGAAAACGTGTCAAGAGATTTTGAGATAACAGTCAACGAAAATGTAAAGACTGTGCAGAAAAACATTCAATAGTCTTTCAATATAAAACAGTAACAAATATGTGTAATACCCTGTTTTTTCAATAGAGTTTGTGATGTAATGTGAAAAAAATGCCCGTTATCATGGAAATCTGCAGTAGTAAAAAAATCTTCATGGGCTTTCCATAGGTTTAACATTAGGCGCACAGAAAATGTACTCTATTATAGTCTTGGGTGACAAGATTTTCAAAATAAAAAACATCCCTATTTTTTTGGTGGTTGGTAATATGAAAATTGTGAAACAAGTGCGTAATTAAGGAAAATTGTGATGCAGAGACCATTCATGACTAATATGTGAGTCAGTATAGTCACATTTTCTTTGAGTTTTGGTCATTTTTAAGTAGCTTTTGTTTACGATTACAATTACGCCTCTCTTTCCTATTGACATGTATCAGATTGGTCAAAAAAAAGGGACACCTGGGACATTTCTTGTATAAAACTGGGACAAATCAATGGTTGTGGATAAATCTGTTGGGACAGGGGACACAAGGCTCAAAACTGGGACTGTTCCACGTAAATAGGGACATCTGTTCACCCTATTATAGCCTGACTTCAAGACCAAAAAATACGACCATATGTCCAAATGAAGGAAGTTAAATAGAAAAAATAATAAAAGATAAACTGCTGAACGCAATAATTTGCTAGTGCTAAGTGATTAAAGGTGCACTAAGTAATTTTCTGGTGCTTGATATATATTCTTACTGTGAGTGGGTTAATGTCTCCACAGATCTGACCCTTAACTTGATCTAGTGGCATCACCAGCTTGGTTTCATGGAGCTACAAGTTTGATCTACACACATGCTATATATTCTGTTGAATCAAAGCAATAACATCTCCATTTAGACAAGCAAATGCCGTACCCTCTACCAGAAAAGTTGCATAGTACATCTTTAAATAATTATATAAAATCAAAGCATGACCATCAGAGAGAACAAAATATACTGACTGATTGACCTCACCTCTTGGTTGGTCTTCTTCTCAGAGCTCAGAGCCTCCTGGACACTGTTGAGTTCTGCAGCGTGTCTCCTCATCACCTCCTCGATGGCCTTCCTCACCTGATCCTTCAGTCTCTTCCTGTCCTCCTCCGCCTTCTCCGCCAGTCTCCTCTTCTCCTCTTCTAATTTCTGCAGCACTCCAGCTCTCTCCACGTCCACCTGCTCCATACTTTTGTCCAGCTGGGATCGCACCCTCACCCTCTCCACATCCAGCTCTTTCCTCTGCCTGTCCATCTCCTCCTCCTTCTCCCTTCTGAGACGCTCCTTCAGATCCTCTATATCTCTGCGCTGTTGCTCCCGATCTTCCTCACGTTCTCTGCGCAGTCTGCTCAGTTCTTTCTCAAACTGATCCTTCTCCTGCTCACGTTCCTTTTGTAGGGCCTGGCGTTCACGTTCTATCTCCTTTTGCAGTTTGTCCCTTTCATCGTCGGCGTGCTTTTGTATGCGGCGCAGCTCCTCCGTCTGCGCTCGCACCATTTCAGAGCGCAGGCTGGACAAGGCTTCGGCGTGCTAGACACAGAGATGAACAGATTTAGCAGTGGGCTGTACTTGGGAGATGGCCTAGTTGTCGAATAAGCATTTGGAGTTGTTTTTAATCATTTAAAATGTTCAATCAACTTTATCTGGACCATGGAAAAATATAGAGCCATGAAGATTGATGTTGTTTTTACAGGACTAACAAATAAGACATTCTAAGTATTGTATGGCAATTGGTATTTTTGATATGATTGGGTGTGTGACCAGATATCTGGTAAATTAATAAAGATTTTATTTGATTCAGGTCTGGGTAATGGACACCCTTTTCTAAAATTGAGACCTTAATTCATGCTTGAATAATCAAAAGGACACTCTCTAAATATTTATTTTATGTATGTCTCATAAGATAAATTAAGTTAAAAATACTGCTTACTGTCTAGTTTAATAGTTTTGGACATGCCTAAGCTGCAGTTATTCAGTTGTTTTTCATCAATACAAGCTGCTTTGAGGATGAACTTAGTTATCAACACATTTTTTGATTTTGATAGAATATAATAGTACAGTCTGATGTGTTAGTGCCAGTGTAATGTATAATTTGTCACATTTTTGATAAAAATTTTGCATTTTAAAGCTGTTGTATCAGTTGTTACCTGTCGTATCTGGCGGGCGTGGTCGCTGTTCCGGCCGCTGCTCTGTAACTCCAGCTCTCGGTTGCGACTCTGCAGTCGGCTCACCTGACTCCGGAGCTCATCCACCTCCGCACACACACACACCTCACAGCCCCCGCGGTTCAACAGCTCCTCTGGCACAACAAATATGCAAACAGACACCATATTAAAGTGCTTATTTGAAATGAAACTAATAATTTCACTAAAATATAATGATATAATATATAATATATTTGGTGAAGTTTATAATTTTACTTCTTGGTTGGACACAGTGACCACATATCCAGTTCTGGAAGTAAATTCTCCTTAAATTTTTCCTATATACTTTTCAAAAAATGTAAATATTAAGGCTTCAAAGACACCGTGTAGGCTGACCAGCTACAGGGTAACAGGGTCATATTTACATTTTCAGTGAAATGCTTTAATAACTTAGCAGTTTATAAAGTTTCGTATAAAGTATAGGTCTTGTGTTCATTAGTCAACACATAGCTGATTATGCTTGAGCAAGCTTTTAAACTTTTAATATGCTTTTTTTTCCCGGAAAGTCTATGAAAAAATGAATGGGAAATTTAGTTCAGAGACCAGGTGGTGGGCAATCACTGTTGAGCTCCACAGAGGTAAAAAAAATATCTAGCAACAAATCCATGATGGGAAGGGCCAAAAATTTCCACACAAAAAACTAAAACTAAAATAAACTAAATTGGCAACACCATCATTTTGTTAAATGAAGGTATTGTTAAATTGTGTATTCAGTATTGTTGTACTTTTCTTCACAACTTTTTTCCACAAATTGCCACTTAACTGATAAACCTATGATTAATATTAACTGCAGATACTACCCCACCAAACCAGGCAATAATAATTAGAAAAATATGAAAATCTGTCATATGCGCACACATTTAGAGCCTTTATGCATAATAGGAACAGAACAGATTTATGGCAGAGGAACTGTGAATGAGTCAGGACTTGAAACTAACTCATATCTTTGCAGTAAATAACTAATCAAGGCATTTTGCTGACCTGGAGTAATGACAGCATGATGGAAACACTGGGAGGATGAATAATGCGCTTCTGTTGCTTTTTTGGCTGTATATATTATAATGACGTGAGCCGCAATCTTAATTAACGCTGAGTCAGAGTGAAGAATGGAAATGAACTGAGCTAAACGCTGTACAGAGAGACTTACAATGAGAGGAGAGTGAGGAAGCATGCATACACAGACACATGCAGGGGCGGGGTCATCAGCTACCTGCCCTGCTCTGTAACTCGTCTTCCTGGAGCAGCAGCCTCTCCTTGGCAACCGCTAACTCCTCCTCCGCCCGCTTCACCACACCCTCCGCCTCCGACACGCGTTTACGGTGCAGCTCCAGCTCCTCCTCCAAGTTCTGGAGGTGGGCATGAGTGCAAAAGGTGGAAAGAAGTATAGAGAAGAAGAAGAAGATGAGGAAGAACCTGAGCCAGTGAGCGTGAACAATGCAAGATTTGTTTTAAGAGAGATTTGAAAAGGTTTTAAGGGTGAAAGCATGCAAGAGGAATAATCAAAAGAGAAATGCAGTGCTACTCAAGTCAGAGCCTACTAAAAACAGGTCCTTAAGAAAGTTTTCTGTAGTTGTAGTTGCCATTTGTTTTTTTTGTTTTGTTTTTTGTTTTACCTGAAATAGATGTAAGTGAGGAACTAATAAACTAATGTAACTAGCTGTCTTCCTATGACCTCTTGTATAAAGCTGTGATTTTATATTTTATTACTTATCTTTCTATTTTATTTTGTGTCTCTGTCTCTTGCTATCTTTTTTGCTACTTATTTAGAATTTATTATTACCATTTATATCTTCGCTCTTTGTTATATTGTGATGTGTGAGCTACTCTGTCCAAATAATTTCCCTTGTGGATCAATAGAGTTTGTCTAAGTCTAAGTCTAATGTTCCAAAGGATGACAATTCAAGGTCTCCTTTTCTCCAGGGAGATGTTTGCTTGTAATGTCCCACAGTATGGCATTAAACATATCTCTCTCCATGAAGACCAGGCAGAATTGCAGGTTAAAGCAAGGACAGCATGTAATATAATGCATCAATTTTAATGCCATGCTGTGGAAAATTTCAGGTAAAGCAATAACATATCAGTGGATACAAGCAGGTGGCATCCCCCCAACAGAGAAGTCACTTTTTTTTCACTTTTAATATTCATGCATGTGTAGTAGCAAAATTAATTTTAACATGTCCTTGAACATATTTACTGTTATAATTATCTGGCCCTAGTTTCAGTCAGTACTTTCCCAGTGAAACTGGCATTCCTCTCTCAGGAGCATCCCCTCACTGTCCAGTCCTCCCCTCATTATTTATGTCATGATGACCTGTGTACATTGCTTTGTACTGCCTGTATAAAACCCAGTGTGGTACTGCCCCAGGTTTCTCTCTGTCTCCTTCTTCTACCTGATTTACTCTCTTCTCCATTTGCTCTTTCTCTTGCAAGACAACAAACCCCACAAAGACAACTGTTTGACTCAAGATCTCTATTTCATTCTGACCAAAATATTTCCACAACACATGTTCAGATAAGGTAGAATAAGTTCCCAAAAACAATCCCAGACCTAAACATGTACCCCTAACTCTACACAATCAACTTCAAATCTTCTTCTACTCCAACTGTCAGTTTGGCAGAGATAAATACCAAATAGTATGAGTCAAACAAGAAAGAGAGAGAAGAAGAGACAGAGGGGGCGGACAGTAGTTAGCAAATGCAGGGCTTTAAATGTGGAGAGTTGGGATGCTCCCTGGCCCAGCTGTGCACATTATCAGTTTTCTCATGTCAGCTCAGTGCTCTTCTCACAGGACATCTTAATGCCCGTGCGTGAGGTGGTAATAGCAGTGGTGCAACAGATTTACCCTGCTCTAACTACTCATTAGCGGATGGTTGGCAGTGAGGATGGCACTCAAGACCATGTGTGTGGTTTAGATAGAGCAAGAAAACCCCCTCTCCTCCATCTCTACATCTTCACCGCTAACATCAACATCATTAGCTGAGTGCCTCCGAGACAGCTTTGCAACAATCATTTACCATACTGAAACAAGTGAATCTGTCTTGACTATTACAACAGAGTTAGCATACCTGTATCCTCTCTTGCAACTTCACTGTGTTCCTCTTGCTCTCATCCAGTTTTTCCAAATGGCTCTCCACCTCTGTCTCTGCCCTCTTCACCCGTTCCCGTAGAGCGCTGTGCATCCCTTTCTTCTCCTCCTCCTCCCGCTCCTCCCACCTCCTGCGCTCCTCCCTCCACTCTGCCTCCATCTTCCTCCTCATCTCCTCCTTGTCCTCGTTCAGATCCTGAATCTTCCGCTCCCAGCGTTCCTTCTCCTCCTTCAGAGCTTTCCTCTTGTCCTCCTCGGCTCGCTCCCTGTCCTGTCTCAGTGCATTCAGTTGGTCGAGGAGGGCCCTCACTCGCTCCGTGTCCTCCCGCTCCTCTATCCGGCGCTCCTCTTCTCTCCTCCTTTCCTCTTCCTCCTTCAGCCTCTGCTCCTCTCTCCTCTGTCGCTCTTCCATTTCAGCCACTCTCTGCATCTCCTCACATTTATTGTCAAGCTCTTGGACATGCTGTACCATGTTCTCCAGTTCTTTGCACACTCTGAGGCTCTCTTCCTGGGCAGTGCTCATCTGGACCCTTGCGTCCTGTAGTGCCTCCTCAGCCGCTCGGAGCTTCTCTTCAAACTCCTTCCTGAGCTCAGCCTCCGCTTCACGCTCGCGCTCCTCGGCCTGAAGGCGGTAGCACTCGAAGTCTGCCTGCACCTACAGCACACAAACTGTAAATATCTCTATTTTGTTTAGATATCCTTTATCAACTGGGAAAATAGACATTTAAATAATAAAGGAAGTGACAAAACCTAGTATCAAAGCTGATAGGGTGCTACATAGTTTAGCAGTTCTTTATAATACAATTGAATTGAGTAGTTTTGTTGGTACTGCAATTTGGTTCATGGCTGGTGGTTCAAACAGTGCAAAGGCTGGGTGAGACAACCCATTTCTGCCAATGTGAAACTGATTGTGGAGGTCACAGCCATGAGTGGTTAATGAATAATGCACAAAGTTGTATAAATTGGCTCATGAGTGTCTAGGTTGCTGCTAAAACCATGTAGCAATGAATTTTTATGATTAAGTTTCTATAATTCTCACAGAAATTACTGTGTTTTTTTCTCTAGCAGCATAACCTTGACAACATATCCTGGTTGGTTGATTTTCATCTTTGCATGAAGCCTATCACACTGTGAAAACTTCTGATATTTTAAAATGACCCCATACAATTTTCCATTTGCCACAGTGGCTGTTTATGATTCATGATGATAGAGCTTTCCGGAGGAGCTCAGGATGTAAATTAGGCCCCAGGTCCCGGGCAAAGTATCAGGCAACAAGGTTGATCATTATAGGTCACATTGATTTGTGGCTCCCATGGGGGGTTACACATTAAATTACAACAAGACATGCCCTTGAATCAGGCCGGCTCTGGATTGAGAGCAGCGGGTGCACGCACACACACATAATGGTGGTGGCCTCACCTGAGCGCCAACTCTCTGCTGCTCGTCCAGGCACTCCTGCAGCTCCAGGAGACGCACCCTGAGCACTGAGCCCTCGCCCTCGTGACATGACTCCATCAGCACCCGGTGCAGCTCTTCATGGTGGGCATAACTCAGGGCCTGCAGGGTGGCCTCCTGCTCCTCATTCTTCATGTTCAGAGAGTAAATCACCTGCACAGTGACACAGGGAAGACAAACTGCTGTTTACGTCCTTCCATCATCTCAGGAGAGGGAAGACAGCTCATTGTTGATGTGGTTGTGTTATCATTGCACATAAAATATGTGCAACCATTTCAACTTTAGATTAAATTTCACAAGTTTACAGTTAACTTCTAAGTAGGTATGGGACAAAATAATACCTAAACTAGTTATGATGTAAAATGTTCAATATAAAAGTAAATATACTGTATAAACAAAAATAATACAAATAATAATAATGTATTCATTACAAAGTGTGCCAACATATTTCCACGTGTCATTCTTGTTGGATTTATGTCTCGTCCAACTCTCAATTCACAGAAGCCATTAAATTTTTTTTACCTGATCCACTCTTGAGTGTAGCAGACATTTGGTATACTCGGTCAGGTAACAGAAACTGTTTATGCTTCCTATTCATTTTGATGAGCAGAAAGTTTTGACTTAGAAGGGTAGCCTCATAGATGGACACTAATCCATTTTAACTTGACCCAGACAATCATAAACACAAACAGTGAACAGTGCTCATCTAAATATATGCGTTGTAACCAATGCTTATCGTGCCAATGTATCTGTCTTTCCCCATATAGACTGTGACTAACATAATGAAATGCAGCCTTACTTTTGCCACTACTCACAGTGGTCTCTTTGCTATGCATACAGAGCCCTGGTGTGCTGTGGCTGACCCTGTCAATGTCTCACTTACACAGAGGTGCATGTGGTGGGATGGGGGCGTGCTCTCCAGTGTATGCTGGGGACACACAGGCTCATATTTTATCCAGACGCCTCTCTGTCTGCAGCACAGATCTGGCACAGCGCAGGACATTCCCCCTGTCCGCAAAGTGCTTGCAATGCCAATGTCAGGGTTCACTGTCCGGCAAATGACTTCCACATGTACATAAGCAAGGGTTTGTTTTTCTCTATGACGCTTAGTACTTTCCTTTGGTACTGGGACTACTCTATTGGTGAGAAACTGTGACTGAAAACTGTCTTCAAATTGGTCAAAAAATCTGAAGTTTGAAAAGAAAACAAATCCTGAATTTCAGGAGTAGAGTTGATTGAGTTTTATATCACTGATCTTGCAGATAAATGACACGTCAAAATTGTATGTTTCATCTATTCTATATGCTCAAACTCCCAATTAAAGTGTGACTGGGACTGGTCAATGTTTCTAGATAATCCTTCTAGTCAATAGTGTTCATGTAACCTCACAAGTCTGAGCCTGGGCCTTTTGACAGAAACGTCATAGTCAGCAAAGCATGAAATTATTATTCTGTGTGTAGTGTAAAGCTGAGATGAAGAGGCTTGAGATAAAAGCGTGCTGATCAATGAGTGACAGATGCACATACAGCCATGCACAGCTCAACGAGTGAACAGGGCTGAAAAATATCCTTCTGAAAAAGCTACAGCTAATTGTATTGTAATACTAAAGTCTAAAGGTGCATGTTGTAACTATTCTGGTGGAGAAACGGTCAAATGTGCTTCTTCATGGAGATGTTGTTCCCTTGTCTGGAATATTTCACAGTATGGCATTAAACCTTTCTATCTTCATGGAGGCCAAACCAGATCAAGTTACCGGTCAGATCTGTGGAGAGGCTACTCTGCTCACAGTCAGAATACCTGTTTTTCTAGGTATTTTTGACTCTAACTGTATACATGTAAGTCAGAGGTGTTTAATGTCATTCTTTGGAACATTCCAGGCAGAGCAATGACTTATCCATAGAAACAAGCAGGTGATGGACCCTCCACCAGAAGAGTTACACAATACACCTCTAAATTCTTATTATTATTCATGATTTTTTCATTTGTTATGTCTACAAAATGTGTCTGAACTCATTTCATTCCCTAGTAGCACAAACACAACACTCCTTTGTGATGCAGCAGAAAAATGTGCACGTCTCTTCAAGAACAAGCTCAAGTGAACATTCACAACAGCTGGCCGGACATGGTCAGCCTCTGCTCCACTCTCATTGGTGTGTTCGGCCATGCTAATATACTCCGACGTGGAACAGTTATCTTTAGAAATATCCATTCAACCGAGGCAGGTCACTCTCACAAACACAAGAGCAGGAGTTGGATGTGAGGGAGGAAGGGAGGGATGGGGGAGTGGAGCATTTACTGTGGAGTGAAAGCATATACTGTCACTGAGGAGCCTCATGATCACCCATATAAACTTACAGCATGCTTGAATACATATCTATGAGAAGGTCACACAGTAAGCGGTATGGCTGCTTAAGTTTACTAACAGGTCTACATGACTTTAACAGGAACAACTGATCAAATAAAAAATTTGAGTGATGTAAGCACTTTATATTTCAATATTAAAGTGTCCAAATCGAAGGCATCACGTGTTTGGTTACATTTATTTAATATCTTGTTATCCCAGGACAGTGCATGGCTTTACATATATATTATTATTATTATTATTATATTATTATTACATATTTTCTGACCAAGTGACAGTCTATTTGTGTTTCCAAGGTCCTATATTACACAAAATTGACTCTTTAAGCCATGTCTGAATGCTGTTATCTAGAAACATAGCTGGAGTTGAGTCTTGTTTCATTCACGCATGTTTGAGTAATCACTGAGTAATTAGTCTGTCTACATCTCCAAAGCTTAATGCTCTGTTGCACCTTGTGATGTCATGTGGTGGCAGTTTTCAAGTAAACACCTACCTTTTACCTTTTATTCAGTAAAGATTGGAAATTCCAGGGAGGAAATTATCCAAATAATTCTAATGAAGGTGTATGGAGTTTAAAAACACAGTAGAGCACATCCTGTATTACCACATGACATCACAAGGTGGGACAGAGTGTTATCAGTTTTATGCCGAAATATGCAGAATTTGTGTGTAAAAACATGTCCAAATGAAACAAAACAAAACTATGTTTGTGATGACAAACTGACAAAGTCTGACCTGGAGACTGGTGTAATAATTTAGGGGACTTGAAGGTGGCATGGGGCAGTCCTTGTTTTACATTTGTGCAAAAAGTTATTGGAACCTCATTTAAAGGTGCACTGAGTAACTTTTTCTCTGTCACTTGTTTCCATTGAGATGTTATTGCTTTGCCTGAAATGTTAGACAGAATATTAACATCTAGTCAGCATATTTCATATTTTGGGTCTTTTATTTGAAAAAACACCATAGAAATGTGCATTCTTACTGTTACTAAGGTCACATCTTCACAGATCTGACCTGTAACGTCACCTCATGACGTCTCCATACCAATAAATAAGTTTATTGCCATACTATAGAAGAATATTTCAGCCCAAAGCAATGACAACTGCCATACAAGCAGGTGGTGGACCCTCTATGAGTGAAGTTATGCAATGCACCTTTGTTTGCATCCTCATTTTAGGTGCATAAAATAATGACATTTAATGAAAAAGTGTTTTCTTTGCACCTTTGAAATTCAAATACACCCTCTGTCAGTTTGGTCTACCACTGAGCAAGCGTGGAGGGGGCATGGAGACGTGAGGGGGGTGTGCATGTGTGTTGTGAGTGGTGGCCTCAGACTTGGGGTTATTAAATATAAGGTTACCACAGCTGACCCATTTTTTGCTTCCTCTGCTATTGCTTCAATAAATCCTGAGTCATATTCAAGCTCTCAAGAAAATGCTTACATCAAACATCACATCTGACTCTAATATTTCATTAGCTTTTATATTTGGGCTTTCTGGACTTAGGTCTTTAATGTGCCAGAATTGAGAGGTTGAGTATGCAAAGAATGACACAAGCATTCAGTGTGATTATTCATATTGGGATAGAGATAATATACTTGACCATAAATTTCAAAAATCATTATGTATAACCCAAAAGCACAAAGCCTATTCACGGGCTGCAATGGTTCAGCATCTCAGATACATGTAGGTCTGGCTTCACATGCACACGGAAGGATGGAAACTGCACTGTCAACAGTAATTGTCACTGCTCAACAAGCAGTGGGTCATGTCCTGCTTCTGTAAGCTATATTGTGGCAGGGACAAGGTGAATCCCTGTAAGAATTGGTTAGTGTATAAGACAGAGCAGCGACTGCAGCTGCCTGGCTGTCAGATCAGACATCCTGCACTGAATGCACATAGCACAGTGTATGTCCACAGGAAAACATAAAGCACAGAGACAGAAAAATGCCCCATATACATCGAACAGCTGCTTTTGCTTATCATGTTTGAGCGTGACATCAAAAGCACAGCATTATCAATAGACTACTGTTTATCTAAATCACTGCGAGCTTTAGCTGGTACACATTTTTTTTCTCATGTGTTATATTCAGAGTCAGACGTGTACAGCACAGGATATGTTGATTGAACTGTTGCTAGGTGCCTTCGTTTTGGCAGAGATCTGCAGCCTATTCGAGTCAGTCACGATAACGATTTTTTAAGTTTTTAGTAGGCTAATGTTCCAGGTGGATGGTATTTTACATAGCCAATTGAATAGAGAATCAGAGCAAGTGAGCTATTCGCCTAGGAGATCATACTCGGTTTGTTCTAAATGGCTTGATGTTTCATTGTACATAACCCCATCACAGTCGTCCTCAGGTTCTAAGGTGTAGTCTGAACATGTTTATTGGCAAATGATGGAAGGCCATCAGTCTGGGACACTCAGTGACAGCGCGTACACGGCGCGCGCCTCTGTCTCCGCTCACGCCGGTGCCAAATCGCTTACCTTGGTAAGCTGGGCGATCTTCTTGCACATTTTGCTGTGCATCTGGTAGTCGTACTGCTCAGTATCTTGCTCAATACTCGGGAACTCTGCCGCAGTCCCGTTAACGGCGGAGCCCTGGCCAGCGGGCTGTGTAGCCTTACCGGCGCCTGAAGCCATAACGCTCTCGGGGGAAGTTCCAGGAGCCAATAGTCTATCAGACGAAAATTATCAGCGTAGTCCAGATAACTTCAAATGTATGCATCTCATTCGTTTTTCTGCAGGACTCCATCTGTGAACAGCAGCTCGAGCGATTCGCGTGAACACATTTGGTTGTATAGTGGCGGTGCAGCCCCTCTCTTGCGCTCCACTTCCCCACTCTCCCCCGGTCCGCCTGGTGCTCGCGGAGGTCACACGCTGGAAGTCCATCGGGGACGCGCTCGCGCCGACCGACTTGTCCCAGCTGTTTTATTGTAACAGTCAGCGCTAAAGCATGAAGGCGTACAGTCCACCTGTCTAACAGGGGCGGTGAGGGGCGTATGTATCCGGTGGAACATTACCGGAGAGAGCTCGTCAACACAGGCGCACTGCTGCAGTGCGGCCCCGCCCCTAGCACCGCGGCTGTATCTGTGCGATCTGTGCCCATTGCCGCGAAGGTGGGGGGAGGCTCACGGTCCAGTCGCGTGATCGCCCTCTGCCACACTATCGAGTACATGTGGAAAACATGCTGTTCTAGGATAACAACTTTTGGCATTTCATTGGCCTATATCGGCAATGGCATTAAAGCGGCATACGTAGGACCCCCCTTCCTGGTGGCATGCCAGTGCCATCTCAGTGACTTTGACTTTTGACAATTCAAAGTTGTGAAAGGTAGAGGCTCGGGGGCAAGATTCTTCTTTTCGTTTAGGGGATGCTGATCCCAGGCACCTAAGCTTGAGCAGACGTGATCGCTGACAGACCTGGTTCAAGCGCAGGAAGAAGCGATAATGTTGCCATGAAGGATTTGTACTAGCCTGGAACCACAAATTTCTTTGACAGTTTTATGTGTATGAAGAAAAGAAAAACAAAACTTTTCCAGCTGTTTTAGTTGTTAGAGTGGGCAATATTCCTGCAAGATGTGAGGCATAGTGTACTATCACTTCAATCAATGCAGTGCTTAAAACTTTTTTTTTTTTTTTTTTTTTTATTATTAGACTGGCCAAAAAACTTACAAACGGTAGCTTTAATGTGGGCCTAAGTCTACTTTTGAGCTATAAAATCGGCCTCCATCCACAATATGATACATATCCCAGTACCTTTAGCATTAACTTGTTGACATTTCATTTCCACGATGCCCTCAACATCAATTTAGTCTGTGTATGTTGCAGTTACCCTAGTCGGCAGTTCATTCAGCTCACGTATTTACAATAACTTAAAAAAAAAAAAAAAAAGAGATAATAAATAAATAATATATAGTGTGAAATACGAAAGACATCAATGCGTTCTAGTCATGGATCTATAGTAATAACTTATCTTATACTTCCATGTTTATGGTTCTAATCATGGATCTATAATAAAATAAAAAATATTTTATAATAAAATAAAAAATATTTTATTATAGTTTTATGGTTCTAGCCCTAAGAGACAAATCTCAGGGCAAACGTTACAGATACACAAGTATCGCGAGATCTGACGTTAGTTTAATTTGAAAACGGGCGGCACGACAAAACAACAGAAACGACAGAAAAGGTGCTTTTTACATTTTACTAACTTACCTTCGGTGTTATTTTACATTTCAATTGCATTTCATACACATTATATATAACATTATAATAATGTAATTTACATGTATAAAATCTCTTAGGGGAATAGCGTCTCGAAGTATTTTGGTGAGCGTATGTTGTTTGCGTTAGCCGCTAACAAGACTCTGGAGACACAGATTCTGTCCTGTGCACCATGTTAATACCGATAACATTTAAACATTGTTTTCAGTGAAGGGACCATGACGGCGGACAATGAAATGGATATCAAGGAGGCGTTTCAGCGCGCTCAGAAAGGACATAACAACAAGGCAAAACTGGTGGCAAGTCTCAAGAGTCGTTACAACAAGGTAATGTCCCGTTCATTGTAAAAAGGAAACCGTGCTGTTATTAAAGATATTTGTATCAGCTATTTATTCTTCTCATCTCACCTTAGCTTGAAGACAAATCTCTATTTCATGAGGAGTTTGTGCACTATCTGAAGTATGCCATGATCGTGTACAAGCGAGAGCCCTGTGTGGAAAATGTCATAGAATTTGTTGCCAGATTTGCAACAAGTTTTCAGTCTGCTCCAAAACCAGAGGAAGAGCAGGAAGAGGAGACGGAGGAGGAAGAGGAAGAAGATGAGGATCACCCTTTCCTGAGTTTTATTTTCAACTTTTTATTGGAGGTAATGTATTGCAATAAAATATTTATGTCATGATATCTTTGTGTAAACACTAATACTATATTATAATATGTTTTTTCTTCTTCTTAGTCCCATAAAGCAAATAGTCATGCTGTGCGTTTCCGTGTTTGTCAACTGATCAACAAACTCCTGGGCAGCATGGCGGAAAATGCTCAAATTGATGATGATTTGTTTGATCGGATTCATCAAGCCATGTTGATCCGTGTCACTGATAAGTTTCCAAATGTGAGGATTCAAGCTGCTTTGGCTATGACTCGCCTACAGCAACCGAGAGATCCAGACTGCCCGACAATCAATGGTTTGTGTCATACTGGATGTCTGCTATAGTCTGTATGATGTATACTCATTCCTATTTTTATGCTGTTATTTATTTTTTGTTTTTGTTTTTTTTAGCATATTCGCTGATAATAGATAATGATTCGAATGCTGAAGTGCGGCGGGCTGTCCTCTCCTGTATTGCAATGTCTCCGTCTACACTCCCTAAAGTGCTCAAGCGCACCAGAGACATCAAAGAAAATGTTCGGAAGTTAGCATTTCAGGTAGAGTCATAATTAGTCTGTTAAGAGTAACTTTTTACCCATCTACTTTAAGTAAATCTATCAGTCATGTTTATAATGTTTTGTTTTTTTCAGGTTCTTGCAGATAAAGTTCACATCAAAGCTCTCACAATTGCACAGAGAGTGAGTCTGCTGCAGCAGGGCCTCCACGACACCTCTGGTAATTGTGTTTTAAATGTTTATGTGAGCATAATAGAGGCCTTAGTTAACATGTCTGGTTGTATTTTGTAGAAGCGGTGAGGGAGGTGGTGTGCTCACGCCTGTTGCCAGCCTGGCTGCTTCGTCTGGACGGTGACGTCATTGAGCTTCTTCACAGGCTCGATGTGGAGAACTGTGCTCAGACTGCTCTAGAAACTCTGAAAGCCATTTTTAGCAGCATGGCCCCTGAGGATCTCCTGAAAAACAAACTGTCATTTAATGACAGGTAGGACTTACTAAAGTTTGTGAAATTTGATTTTTAAAAAATAATTATTCAGGGTTGTCTGAATACAATATGTACTATCTATATACTTCCATCAGGAAGCTTCTAGTAGAAGATTCCCTGAGCTGTGAGAATGTGCTTTACTGGAGAGCCCTTTGTGAATTCATCAAGAGCAAAGGAGACGAAGGAGAAGAGATGTTGGAGCAGGTTTTACCAGACGCTGCCACCTATTCCCACTACCTTTCGGGGTAAAAGGGCATCTATTTTCTTTAAGCCGAATATTTAAGTCTCCAGCCTGTCTATTTGATGTTTCGTCTTGTGTGTTTAAAAAAAAAAAATCTCCTTTGGACAGGTACCTAAAGGCTGTGCCTGTTTTGTCAGAAGAACAGAGAGCTGACTTTAACCAGTTGGAGCTAGTGATGACGAAAGAGTTCATCTCACAACAACTCATCCATCTCATTGGCTGCCTGGATACAAACGAGGAGGGGAGCAGGTTCGATAATTGAAAGATAATTCCTTTACTATTATTATGATCATTTATTATCAATGATCACAGAAAAGTAGGAAGATTAAATTAATAACTAGTAGTTTTGTTTCAATGTATGGATAGATCTTTTCATGAAATGCATGGTAAAGTTTGATGATTTCTGGGCACGCCTCTTACGCCTCTTCTGTGTTTACAGAAAGCAGGTGCTGGCAGTTCTACAGGAGATGCTATCTTTGCCCCATACTCCCTTCTCTCTTGTCTCCCTGCTCACTGAAAAGCTCCTTACCCTCATCTCAGATGACCAAAGAAGGATTCAGTGTGTATGTATACTGAAATGCCACAATCATCACATCAAAATACAATGATACCATGTTAAATTGTTGTGACTTTATGTTCAACAGGTGGCAGAGATCATCTCTGATGTGAGAGAGCCTATTATGGAGGCCAGTCATGTTGTAGATGAAAATCTTAGCCGCCGACAGCAAGTACAGGTTTGGCCAATATACATAATTTTCCTCTGTAACATCACAAGAACACATCAGTCACTCAAACACAAGTAAGAGCAATAAAAACAGGCACGTTAGTGAACATAGTGTTTATCTCTACTCCACATGTACTCCATAACATAGATTATTATATTAATATAGTGATACCAATGTTATGTTTACATTATTTCTGGGCCTGAAACACTACTCTATTTGTTTCTAGGTAGCAGAGGTGAAAGTTCATATTATGGAGGCAAAACAGGCGCTGGAGGACTGTATCTCTGCTCAGGAGTTTAATCGAGCTGCTGAGCTCAAGGACTCCATCACAGAGCTGGAAAATCGCAGGAATCAAATTCTTCAGGAAATTGCAGAGAGCAGCCAACCGGCTGACAAGGAGACTCGTGCTGAAAAGGTAAGAATTATCCTACCCTAAAATCAATCACTACATCTGACTTAAAGAATTCACCAGACATATTTCTTTATCTTTAAGAATGATCCAGAGACTCTTCTGAGGTGTCTCACAATGTGTGCTGAGTTACTTAAGCAGATGAACATCAAGTCTCGTATTGGGCCAACTATAAGCGCACTTATGTCCTCACTGGTAACTGCTACATTGAATTAATTATTGCCTGTATGCATTGGAACTGGTGACAGAATTGGTGTTATCTTTCTATTTCTAGGTCTTGCCTTCTATTGCAAATGCTCACCCTGCCGTCCGCAACATGGCTGTGGTGTGTCTGGGAACATGTGCTCTACACAGCATGGAGCTTGCCAAAACCCACATGGTTCTGCTGCTACAAGTAGGTCCTACTATACTGATACTCTGCAGTGGCACCATGCTGGGGGTGTTCTATAATGCATTTCTACTGGCAAAATGTTCAGCAGTAACCATGGTCACACATTGCACACGTTGGCAAACACAGACAAAAAAGCAAAATGATTTAAACAGCACACTTTCAGGAGCTTATGATCAATATGAACATTCATGGTCCTGTTTTGGTGTTTTCAACAAAAAGGTGAGCGTGACTAACTGGAAAACTGTTGGTTAATGTTAGTTAGCTTGGGCTGTAATTTATGTGTGAAAGACTTGTTTAACAGCACAAATCATTTCACCTGTTGAAGCTCCAACAAAATAATTTCTTGGTCAGATTGTGTTGAAATAAAGCTCAGATTAAGTTTTTTAATTTGAATAACAGTGTTTTTAACAGAGCAGTGCTTTCAGTTAGCATCACACTCCCAGACAATGTTGATGATATCCAGCTGCAAAGTATCAATAACATACAGATGGGGAACATTAGGATCATTTGCTCCATTTTTATTTACTCTGAGAAAATTTTAATTACCATCACTCTGTATTGCTTGTTTTCAGATTGCTCAGCTGGACGAGGTGAGGATTCGCATCAGTGCTCTGCGGGCCATTATCGACCTGTTGCTGATGTTTGGCTTCCAGCTGCTCTCTGATACAGCGGCCCTTCAGCCCACCCCTGCCTCACAGTCCCCAGACAGACAGGAGGACGACGCCTCCTCTGACGATAAGGTGGAAGCGCAGGAGGACAGTGCTCAGAGTACATTGGTCATGCTGTCAGAGTTTCTGGACAGTGAGGTGAGTTCAGTACTGGCATTTAAAGTGTTATAATGTTGTTTCCTCATCACAAACATACCTGGAGTTGTGTTTTGTTTCATTCACACATGTTTAACACACAAATCCTGAATATTTAGGCTGAGTTCTTCGCTCAGACGGAAAACACTCCACCTTGTGATGTCATGTGCTAATACAAGAAGTGCTCCTCTGTGTTTTTAAACTCCATACACCTTTACTAGAATCATTAGGATAATTTCAGTCCTGGAGTTGTCAATCCTGACTGAACAAAAAGTAAAAGGAAACTTGAAAACCACCACTACATGTCATCATAAGTTGGAACAGAGCATTTTGCGCTTTGGAGATGTAGACAGACTAATGATCCATGTGTGAATGAAACCTAATACAACTCCTGGTATATTTTTGATGAGATTACATTCTAACACAGCTAAAATTTCAGTCAATGTTGCACAATATAGAACCTTTAAATACAGCTTTAGTGTTTTTTTTGTTTTTTTTTTGTGCGTGTGTGTGTGTTCTGTTTATTCTGTTGTTTACTTGTTCATAGATCGCAGACCTCCGTACAGAAGCAGCTGAGGGCATTGCCAAACTCCTCTACACCGGCAGAATTGCTAGTGCCAAAATGTTCTCACGTCTTGTTCTTTTGTGGTACAACCCCGTCACCGAGGATGACACTCGTCTGCGACACTGCCTTGGCGTCTTCTTCCAGCTCTACGCCCGCGAGAGCAGGTGATGTGTTTACAGCCTGGTTACAGTTAGGGCTGCACAATGCATACATCAATCTTCCGCTTATCTGTGGCCAGGTTGTGGGGGAATGTAATTGAATCATTTTTTTTTTTTTTTTAGGTAAACACTAAAATATCCTGTTATTGGGGAAAAAACGGTTTACTCTTTAGAGTTTAGACACTTTAGACACTGAAATTCTTGAACTGGTTTCATCAGTCCTTCATAAAATGTTAATGCTCCTGGTGGGACTGTCATGATAGACTGCTATATTTTTATATTTATATAAAAATATCTATATTTTATATTTATAACCTATTGTTCAATATATTATAAATGAAAAACATTTTGGAGGTCATTATTTATGGTGGGTACTTTTTTTTGTAATAGTGAGAATAGTTTTTGGTTATTTTATTATTAAAAATTGATAGTAGAAGTAGAAGATTGAATTATGAACTAAAAGTTACACAAAATAGTTACTTAAGTGTTGCATTCTGCTATTTAATTATAGAACTCAACAACATTTAACAATATCTTACATTTAGAATATTTTTTGTGGGTAATTCTGCTTTATGGTTTCAAACATAGATTAAGAATTAAGTAATCAATTATTAAGTAGTCTAATGCAGTATCACAGTGTTTATATCGTAGGCTAATTCACAACACCAATCCCCAGAAGGGAATTTAAACTGTTGAGATTTCACTAAAGAGCAGTGGGAAAAAACAATAAATATAATGAATCTGTCAAGAGAATCAAAGAGTATCAAGATATCACATACACTTATATTTTACTCTTTCTCAGCCCCCTGCCCTCGCATACTCTCATACTCTTTCAGAACTATGATTTTACTGATACAAAGCATTTATATATTAGGGCCCACCAAGAAGTTATTGAGGAGAGTTTTCTACCAACTGTGCGGACTCTGTTGAACGCTCCAGTGACCTCTCCTCTCGCTGAAGTGGACATTAACAATGTGGTAGAACTACTGGTTGAACTGACCCGCCCCAGTACACTCATGAAACCCTCGACCAACACAGAAGTAAGGACATAATAAAAACCCTTCTGCGGTAGATTTTTAAGTAAAATATTAGCCTAATATGGGCATGTGGGTGTGTTCAGGAAGTTTGTGTCCATGACTACCTGGCTGCGCGCATGTGTGGAGAGATGCTCAAAGATCCCACAGCCCCCGAGGTTCGATTGTATGCAAAAACTTTGTGCAACCTTGAACTAAGTCAAGATGAGACTGTGAAAAAGGATCTGCAAACACTGCTGCAGGAGCTTCTGCAGGTTTGTGATGTTCTTAATATTTGAGTATAGGACATGTACACCAGTCAAAGGGTTTTATTTTTACTACTTTGTACATTTTATATAATACTGAAGACCTCAGATATATGAAGTAGGATGTATGGCATTATGTAGCAAAGAAAAAACGTTAAAAAACTACTAGATATTTTTTGACAAAGCAAAGGATGGCTACTTTGAGGATTTGAATCTTTAAAAAAAAAGTAGTATGTATTTACCTTTTTAATTTTTGCGACATAATTCTGTATATCTTGCATCGTATATTTGATGTATTCTGTATGTATGCATATAAAATGTAGTATGTAGTTAAAATAAAGGGGGAAAAAAACAATAGACTGGTAGGGAATAGTATATATATTCTGTCTAACCTCTGTTCTTTTAATTTAGGTTGTGAAGGATCGTGTGTGTCTGCGCGCACTTGAGAAAATGATGGTTCATCTTGTGGATTCTAGGGAACAAGCAGAGATGCTGAGTGCTACTGCGTTACAGCCTCTGGACGTCAATGCAGATGGTACAGATAAGAGCACTGTAAGACAAACTTCTGTCCTGTTCGACTTACTTAATGCTGTTTTCTTGTGTATGCAGAAGCACCTGAAAACCCAGCAAAATCTGTCAAGAGAGGAAAAAGAGGGAATCCAGGTTTGTTTCTTTCTTTGTTTGATTTTTTTTTTATATTTTATATTTATCGTTTTATTGATGTGTATGTTTTAGGTCAAAAGAAAGCTGCTGCAGCCAAAGGGGGTAGAAAGCCCAGCAGGAGAGCAGACTCATCAGAGGAGAGGTATTTGATCTAGAAAAGGAAATGGTTCTATTTCTACTAATCTGTGTCGTGTAAAAAAAAAAAAAAAAAAAAATCATGTTTTTATTTTATTTTTTTGCAGTGATGGAGAAAATGTTCCAGAGCCTGTCCCATCGGTGCGTCCATCAAGAAGAGCAAAAGCAGCTGCTCTGGAGAAGACTAAACTCGATCTAAACCCTCTGATCAATCAAGAGGTGTCGTAAAAAGTCTAATCTATAAAATCTGTATTCATAAACTGCCATGCATTTATCTTTTCTTTTTATTTCAGCAGTTTTTACCTATTGTGTACTCACTTATTTTTAAATTTTTTAAAGAAAACATGTAATAAAATATTTTCCAAAATATTTGTGTCAATTAAATGATTAATATAAATATTAACATGTATATTTCCCTATTTAGCAATGTTTAGTGTCATGATTATTATGAGAAAAGACAATATTAAGACAAATTCCTGGTTATAGACACGGATTAAGAACTTGTAGAACCATTTACTAAACCTTCATTCACACTATGCAAAAGATCAACATTTCCCAAACTTTTTTTCTGGGGTCCCATATTTTAAAAATCGCAAACCTTTGCCACCCAAGTCTAGACATTATTCCTATATCACAAAATAAAGGTGGAATTGACCATTATTGAACATTAATGAGGATATTTTATTGTTGACTGATTGTGTCTCTGAACAATTAGTATTACTTAAGTTTTAAACAATGAAAAATCGTCACTGAACCAGCAATAAAAGGAATCCATAAGTTGCCTATTTGGACATTAAATGTAGCCCTTTTTTTTTTTCTTTTCAACATTCAGTTGAACCAGCAATATTTTAACAAAATGGTCAATAAAATAATTACAAAAAAATGTGAAATTATACAAAACATGTCTTAACATTTCAATCTACATGCAGATGGTGACCCCAAAAAAATCTCTTGCGACCCACTTGAAGGTCGCAACCCAGTGTTTGGGAAACAATGCAATAAATCACCAACTGGTACAGGGCCCTTTCTAGTTTTGGATTATTAGATGTAATAGAGATATTTCAGGTGTGGAAAGTTAAAGAAAAGCCTATAACTTCATCAAATCAGTTTCTGAAAGACAAACCCTGAACATTCAGATATAATACTGTGTTCTATGATATTCTGGGTCTAACAAATGCATTGTGATCTGAATAATCACAATTATCAATCTGCATCTTCATCGCTGAATACCACACAAACACTGAATTGTATTTTAGTCTTTATTGTTCCAACAGAGGACAACTTTGCATCTGTACAGGATAGTATAAAAATCACATGATAAAATATACACAACCGTTTAGCACCAGGTTCTCCGACAGAGAGCTAGTCCTCTAAAGCTTAACTAGCGTTCCTCAACCTCAACGACATGTACAGGGCTAATCAGGCACGCACAAGTTCATTAGCATTGACCTATGACCAGATATCTTGGACCTAACTGCCATCCAAGTGGGAAGTGTTTTATGAACCTCTGTGGCTTTCTAAACACAATTGACAAGCCCAATTAGAGGTAGGTTCTTCCTTAGTACAGATTTGAAATATTAATGCTAGTACGCTATGACACAAACACTTTAATGCTATCCTATTAATTAAGGATCTGGTGTTGGGGGCAAACAAAGCAAATTTTAAAATCACATTAAATCTCGGGTTTCAGTAATAGCTAATAGTACATCCATATCTGTCAGCAATAAAATAATTACTACGTGCTAAAAGTTATCTGGGGTAGTATTGCACCAGTTGTACAATAGGGATTAGCAATGGGGACATGGGGTGTGCAAAATATAGGAAAAGAAAATGCGTAATCTGTGATAATCTCAGAGGGAATAGTGCAATAAGCAATGTGACAAAGGCATCGATCTAGGTGGCGTCAGACAGAGAAACGAAAACTACAACTTTAAAATTTACAACTGTCAATATTATCTTTAGGGTACAATCACGAAGGTCTCTTGCTACAGGGATGATGATTAAAACACTCCTTCATTTAAATCGTTTTGGCAGGACTTGGCACCATAAATATAGCAATCTGTGAAAACGCTAAGTGATGAAATGTATCAAGCAGAAAATGTTCTAAATAAATATAAAGGGCTCAGATAAAATATATATAAGGATGTTTTTAACTGACTGAGGAATATTTCTTCCTCAGAAACCAAAATATAAGCGCATAACTGTTGAGTCCAAATGATATGAACTTACAAAAACACAAAAACAGTCTGATGTGACAAAAATACAAACATAAGAGAAATAGTGCAACATCAAGCTTTTAAGTTAAACTGCTACATATTTGCTGAGTGTTAGACTGAACTCTAGTGAACAGCCAGTCTGTGGTCCGCTCAATGTCTAAAGGCACCATTGAAACCACAGTCCCTTTTCCACGATGGAGGCCTCTTGTATTTGATTACTTTTCTAAATTAAGAATTGAATAGGTAGAAAGATAACTTTTTTTTTTCTGTTAAATTAGCCTCAATAGTATTCTGCCAAAAAGTCAGTTTTCAAACACAAAGTCACGCCATCTAGCTCCAGATAGGCCCGTCATTCGTGATTGTCTCAACCTTTTTGCTGGTGGTTGTTGTGGTGATTCACCCCTGTGGCCCCTGCCTCTCATTGGCTCCACATGCTGTCCCTGGACTGAGTCAGGTGAGTGACTCTCAGAGTCTCTAAAGCAAGCTCTTTTAGGGCTTCTTATATGTTCAGTTTTCACAGCTTGGTTAACCCCTGCACCTTTTTCACTTCTTAACAGTAATGCTGAAGGTGACCCCTCTTCCAGTGTGACAGAGTGAGACCTCTCTTCCTCCTTTGCCCCATTGTTGGGTGAATGGATTTTCTTCAGAAACACACGACATTCCCTCATTTTCTCTGGACTCGAATGTTCAGAACTCACATAATCTTCAGCCACATGCACAGGGGCCAGTGATTTTCCACTTACAGAAACATGTTTTGTCTGTGATTTTAGTTCTGAACGTGATACAGTGGCATGTCTTTTCAAACTATGCCATGTTTTACTGTTCATCCAAGACTTCCTCTCTTTTCTGGTTAAGAACCTTCTTTTTACTCGATAAAGACTGGTCTTATATTTGCTGAATGATTTGCTCCTCCCCTTGGCGGTGTAATTAAGCCTGTCTGTAGCTGAAATGGTGGTTGAATACAAATTGTTGAAATTAGATTTTGATACAGTGTTCCTCCTGTGAATCTTTTTCTGAGCCTGTGCATAATCAGTTGGAGTTTTTGGCACACTTCTTGCAAATTTCTTGAGATGCTTGCGAAGTCGCTCTGCCTGAGGGCTGTAGTATGTAGTTTTTTTGTATGTAGTTCGTGGAAAATGCATGACTTCATAAGGATTGCGTGAGCTTGCCTTCTTGACAATAGAGAGTGACTGTGTCTCAGTGGTCTGCATGAACCAAGAGCAGAGCTGCTGCATGCTGCAGGACCTGGGCTTATTGGGAGAGCAGTCAAACAATGAGCGCACCACAGAGGAGCACTTGGGTTTTCCACTGGATGGACTTTTATCGGAGCCAAATCCTGCTTCATTGCCCACTGTGTCTGAAACCCAGGTGTCAGAGATAAGTCGGATTCGTCTGGCAAGCTCCTGGTTTAGGGTCTTCTTCTGAACTGAGGCTGACCACCACTTCACCTCTTTTGGACGGTAGATGGAGTCGACAGATACAGTTGCTACTTGTTGTAATCCTAGGGAGCAGGCCTGTCCTTTCCCTTCCCCTCTTATGTGTCGTTTTTCTTCTACTGGCTGCACTATATTCTGCGATTCATCTTTTTTGGTCTTATTCAACAAGAGCTGTTTAGATCGCCGCACCAGAGCACTGCTCCGGCTGTATGAGCTGGAGGTAGCAACTGCATGTAAAAAATGAATAGATGGCTTCCTGACCCTCTCAGAATGGCGAACTGAGACCGGTGGGTTTGGTTCAGTTTCATTCTCTCCTTTAGGCTCTTCTGAAGGCTGCTCCTCATCACTGCTTTTGCTCACTGACTGACAAGTGATTGTCTTGGGCTCTTTGGCAGACACAGTCTTTTGGAAAAGTGCTCGCTTATGGTTCTGCTTTACTGGAGAGGCTTTATCTTTGTTTATCTGAATCTTGCGTTGTCGGGGTGATACTGTGGTTACTGTAACAGAAATTCCAGAGATTTTAACTTTAGCGGGTCTCCCTGGTTTTCGAGAAGGTGCAGCTTCATCCACTGATGGACGTTTGATGTTACTTGAGTGGGGAGCACCATCTTTAGCAGGTCCTATTGTGGGAATCTTATGGGACAGTTCAACTGAGGCTGTTTTTAGATCTGTTGAATTAACTTTTGTAGTGTTCATTAACATACTCCAGTTGTTATTTAGGCCCACTGCCTGGCATGCATCACGAAATTCAGTTTGAAGTTGATCAAAGCCCTCAGACACCATCCTTTTATTTCTCCGGGAACGACCATATAGAACAGTAATTTTTAGATTTTTGTTGACATTTTTCTCTGTGTCTGATGCTTCAGTATTTCCTTTTACCTTTTCATTGACTGTGGATTCCATAACCTTCTCTTTGCGTGGACGGCCAATAGGCCTCTTGACTTTTTTCTCCAGCTGCGGTCCCAGCTTTTTCGGCCGGCCTCGACGTCTTTTTGGTGGAGTGGTTTCATGCAACCCTGAACCATCATGAGGGTCATCCACCCACTTGGTTGGAGTGCTTTCACCTGATCTTCTTGAGCCTGCTTTTGGTGAAGTAGTTGACTTGGGTGAGGCAGATTTAGCAAGTGGAGGCGTTTTGGGGGAAGTTTTGTTGGGTGAGGACCTTGGTGACCCAGATGCTGGTTTGGGGGAGGTTGAGGATTTTAGAGGTGATGCAGTCTGTGTGTTAAGGTGTGTATTTTGCCTTGTGATTTTCTCTGGAGTCCCTGACCAAGATGATTCTTCACAGGGGTCAAAACATTCATCTGCTCGTGATCCATTTACAGCAGCTGCTGACTTTAAACTGTACCTCATCCCCTCCTCATCTTTCACCGGAGAAACAAACATTAGCTTTATTGGACTCGTGTACTCAAGACAAATGTCAGTACATGCTGAAGGCCTGGTTTTAGCATCAGAGGACAAGTCTTCCAGCTGTAGCTTTCTGCGGCGTTTGGTAGTTCGCCGGTTATCATCTTTCAGCGTGTTAGAGTTGTTTTTTGTGGGACTCTCTTTGGTAGGTGGAATGGCCAGGTTTTCACTGTCACCTTTCACAGAATATTCATTTGTATTTTCAGAAGCATCATTTTCATAATGGGTCTTGTGGTCAGGGTTTTGTGGGGGAGTGATAACTTCATCAGCTCGATTTCTCTGGTTAAAGATGGTGTCTGAAAAACATGCAACAAAGTACATTTTGCGGGGCTCTGTGACATAAGAGGAAAAGCGCGGAGGGGGAACAATGGTTCTCTTAGATTTTCTGGCCTTTCTTGAATTATTTGACTGGTCTAATAGACTTTGTACATTTTTAGCACAATTTGAAGTCACATACTTTTTATCCAGATTCCTATCTGTTTTACAGTTTGTCACCAATGCCACATCAGCCTCTTCTTTAATAGAAGCTGCCATATATTCCTCCCATATCTCATTTTCTTCTTGTCTCACCACAGTCTCCGTTTTGTTTTTTTTTGGAGTGTCTGAATTGAGTTTCACAGTTTTGACCTCTCGCTCAAATTCCTCATTTACATGATTCAAAATGCTTTCTCCATTTTCTAATGAGGCCCGTTTTTGTTTATCGTGATACTGGTCCAGCATTGCTAGTTCACGTCTAATTTGTTTTGTTTGTTTAGTTTGCCTTCGGGTTGTACCATTATCAGTGGGCGTCGCCATAGCAGCGAGCATCTCCTGCCGGCGCCTGGAACGTGTGTTTGGGGACTGAACCTCCTTGTTATTACGATGGTTAATGAGCTTACCAAGGTTGTATTCACTGGCTTTGCCTGTGTGAAGGACTGTAGTGATTATTTCAGTCAAATGAGAATCTGGATTTAATTGTACACATTTAGAAGTGCAATGTAATTGCTGTGTTTCTGCCTCTGGTGCAGTGATAAGTGAGGCATCCTTCTCTGAAGGCTTGAGGGTTTCAAGTTTCTCACTAAGCCGACTGACTACATCCGGCAGGAGAGTCCCATTAGTTCTCAGAGTTCGGCTACTTTGTGTTGATCTACACTTTGGTTTTTTAACCGAGTATTTTTTAAGGTTTGCATTACTACGTATTTTCCCTACAGGCTCAGTTTCCTCATCTTGAATTTGGTCAAGACGGGCTGGTGGTCTGTCATCACTTTGCTTGTTAGGGTCTGGGATAGGGGACAGAGGAGGAGGAGAGGGGCTCTGCTCCCTTTTTAGTGCAGTAATGTCACCTTCATTCTCTGTGGTGTTTGTGCTCTTGTCGTCAGTCAAAGAGGAGCGCGTTAAAAGACATGAGCATGGTAGAGTGTTGGGTTGGTTACAGCAGATTGATAATGAACATACACTTAAGACTGATGGGGATGGGGCAGTAGGGGACAATGAGCACACTGAATTGTTTGTAGAAGAGAGGCTTTGGCAGGAATGACAGTGCGCCCTCTTGGGGCGGATAATTGTGCAAGTCTCACTTTTGCTAAGCTTTGTAGAGCAGCTGCTGGAGTCATTTTCATGTCCACACTCTTTCAAAGCACAGTGATTGGTGCTGCAGTTGGACTTGGACTCTACAGGATGGCACCTTGTGCTGCAGTGATCCATTAGCCAGTGCTGACAGCAACTGTCCTGGGTGCAGTTACTCTTTGTGCCGTGACAATGACTCATATCATCTTCAAAATATTTGCCACAATGACAGCAGCAGCAATCCGACTGGACTTTAACAGTTTTAAAAAGCAGTTTGTGTTGATGTGCTAGCTTTAGGATTTGGCATAGCAACAACTGATGAGCTGGACACAACGAGCTCAAAACAGCACCTAAAGTAGAGGTCTTGGTCCCTTGAAGCTCTCCCGTTTCTTTTACAGTGGTTGACAGGCAGCAGCTGAAAATACAAAGATGGGAGTTACAACACAGTTACATGCACCACATTGTGTCACATGCAAAAATATCTTCAACCAGATGCAAATACAAAAGTTAAGTTAGGGACAAAATCACTAGATCACAAAGTTCATATTAGAGTCCTGTTTATTGAGGAGTTGAAGGCAATGACAAAAATCTGCTCGGAGCAGAAAGAACGATTGTAGAAACGCTCATCGTAGGTAAAAGTCCAAAAACACTCCTGATGTTTACAGTAATTAGACTTTTATGCACAAGTTATAACAACTTAGAAGTTTTAGAAGGTTTAATGACCTTGTACACAGTCAGAAGAGCTAAGGGCTGTTATGAAAAACATTCTGTAGTGCGTTTGTTGTTAAAATGTCAAAAGTTAAAACACAAATCACAATATCAAAGGGGTTCTTTTTAGAAATAAATAAATCACAACATTTATAAGCCTTCATGCAGTAGCAATACACATTTCACATTGCATCAAAGTGCCTCATTACAAATAATAACATCTACATTGATATAAATAAATATCAATCAATAGGCATTAACACCACAAAAAGGTTGAACAATAAAAATCATAGTGCAATTACAGATTAATGCATAAACATTTGTTAATGTTTAAATTTTCCTGATAGAACAATCTGTATGGATTTTTTTTTTTTTACCGAGCCTCAACATTTAGTTTAAATGACATACGCTTTACAGCAATGATTTTTATCTTAAATAAGTTGTTCCCAGAGTATCGGCATCATGCTGCCTTGTCATTTCAAATTCAAGCATTGTGTACTATTGTGACATTCAGTGAATAGAGTAAGAAAGAAAATGCTAGCAAAATACTTATACAATTATCCTAAAATTACCCAAACACAAAAACACAATAAATTCACTTGATATTTAGATGGCATTACATTTACACTTAGGTGTTGTTCCTTGAGAGAGCCTGTGTTTCCAAGCTGAATAATAGCCCAGCACTAAGTGTCACAGAAGTTGAAACCTGAAGCTGGGCAACAGGCAGAGTTCAGAGGTATATGTGGCAATGAGGTTAGAGAGAGAGAGAGAGAGACAGACAGGCCTACATCCATAGACTACAGTCTATGCCTACATCACAGCAAACAACTGAAGCAGCTTTTGGTAAGTACCCATGGACTACTGCTTTGGTACTAGCACTTTAGCTTAGCCCATCTTAATAGATGCAACATAAACACCTGGCACCTGTCAATCTTTGTGATTCTGCCAACTATAATGTGTCTAATTCTTCATCTATAACCGCCCTATCATTAACTAAACTAGAACTACACCTTTCACTGAATTTAATGAAATAAGCATCTTTGTTTTTGCTATACATCTTTGTGCCTGGGATATGGTCCCAAAAAGTAAGGTTTAAAGCAGCAGTCATGTATGAGGTTTGCAGTAATACAGCTACAGTAGCAGAATTAGTACATCTGTGATCAGTCATAAAATAACACTACACAAATACATACACATCCCAAGCTCATCAGTGCACATAAGGAAAACATGCCATGGTTTGCATTCCATTGACACTCAAAATTTATCTTGCACAAAAGAGAAAATTAGTACAGAAATGGCTTTAACAAGATATTCTCTTCTATTAGAACATTAGATTTTAATGATGATGCCCAATGCGCGATACATTGTACAATCACGGTTTGCAGAGGGGTCAGTATCTAGCAATAGTAATGTCTTTAAAATCTGTTTTAATGGCTCTAAGTCACTTGAGGATAAGTGAAATACCCAGAGAATAGTTAATGACAATCAAACACTCCCAACAATGTGGAGTTTTAAGAAGTGAATCAAACCTGAATAACCTGATAATCTATCTAGAATGATGACAGCGACACAGTGTTTGTGTTTCACTCACCTAAACATGACCTACAATAACATTATGTTACATTGTCTGTGAAGCTGCACTTCATGTCAACAGTGTTGAAACACAAACCATATTGTGTGACTATCATTACAGACAAACCGTTAAAAGACCTGAATATTAATATTAGTATATTCTGTAAAGGCATGTTTTGTGGTAAATGTCTCCAAAAATGTTTATCTTGAAAGAGGAGAGAGGTTCAAGTGTAGAGGAGATTTAGTAGAGACGTTCTGTAGCACTCTAGTTTAAAACCTGTTTGTTGGTGCAGCTAAGGTGAGTATCCCTGAGTTAGCTGAACAGGTAGAACCTGGCCTGGAGCCGTTGGTACTGGAGGGGCAGGGGATGGCAGATTTTTTCTTGGGTGGGTTTTTCAGTGTGCCAGTACGCTCTTTAACTTTGTATTCCAGTGTGCTGTGTGGCACACCATAGACGCCCTGGGCCTTAGACACACTCATGCGACCTGCCATCACCATGGTGATTGCTTCCTCCATCAGCTCGTGGTCATATTGGCGATATCTTCCACGCTTCTTCCTGGGTTGCTTGTCTTTGTCACGGCGATCTGCTCCGTCCTCCGTATCATCCACTGAAGAGGCTCGTGCCCCCAGACAATGAGGTGATAGGTTGGAGCTGTGTGCCAAGACTGAAGGCCTAAGTTTGAAGAGAGGTCTTGCTGTAGAGGACAACACACTGGTAGTGCCCTCTAATGATGAGGTACGAAGGTGAAAGCTTTCAGCTGCACCACCATTTTCAGCAGGGAGTGCCCTGCTCTGATCAGACAAAGAGCGGACCTGAGGAATGCGCAGTGGAGTGGGGGGCTCGAGGCTAGGGGTGGGGCTGGCTGGAGGCTGCAGCGCATCCCTGAGCTGGGGAAAGGCCTGGTGCGTCGTTTTGTTTGGCTGGAAAAAAGTCAGAGAGGATGAAGGAAAACTCAAGTCCCCATGATCCTCTGCTGCTCCTCCGATCTCTGCCCGCTCCGCCCACGCTGCCACCTTCTGCAACACTAGCCGGGCCTCGCCGCCCAGCATGGATGACATCACACAGTAGGATGACACTTCTTCTCTCACATCTCGGTTTCCTGGTGACAGATGCTGCAGCAGCCCTTCTTCAGACCAGCTCTCCTGGCCTTCCTTTAGGACTTGAAGAGGTATCCCATACAGCAGTGCAGCCCGCTGCTCCTGAAGCCTCCCTGAGCGAATGTCCTTAAGGGCCTTGGACAGCAAACCTTCAGACAGCTCCAGGCTCCTCTCAATGTACTCCTTCTGCCTTTGCTGCCTCCTAGGGATGGGAGGACCAAACATCAGGGTCAGGATGGAAGTGATGGAGGGGATTGATTTAGGCATGAGGAAGGGGTTGCAGGGCGAGGGGTCCACTCCTTTATTCCTTGTGTTGGTAACATCACTGCGGCTCTTATGTGTCGTGTTTGACTCTGTGGTAGGCCCTCACACTGCTGCATGTCTCATGCACACATGTTTTTGAGGAAAGCCTCTTCACGTCCAGGTGGGACAGTCTGTGAATGGCTGGAGCTACTGCAGCATTTGCACATAAGTAGTTCGCAGTAGTTTTGTGATATCCTTCAGCGAGTGTCGACATGTTTGAAGGTTGAAATAACAAAATTTGAAGTGGATTAGTAGAAAATCAGGTAAACTGTTGTACTGCTGCATATTGCAGGTCTCCTCACTCCTGAGCTGGTGGTAAATGGTGATACAATGCCATTTTTGTGACGTTACCGCTCAAGACATAAAAGAGTCAACCCCAAAATGACAAAATACATTTTGAAAAAAAAAACAACTATACATTACATTGTGATATGAAAACAGCACTTCTTGAAAACTACTGCTTTGATTTACATTTTAAGATTTAAATTAACTCACAATAAATGCTCTACTGTGTCGACAGTCAACAGTGAGGTTTAAGACTTACCCTGAGCCTTTGTGATTAATGGTGGAGACAGAAGGTTTTGATGTTGGTAAACTGGCAGACTTTCTGTTGGAGAGGTCAAGCACGCCATCTGTTACAGGAATCACAGATTAAAACTGGTTTGAGCTGATGGTGCACAAATGCATTTTAATGTAAATGTACAGTTTTAAATACCTGGTTGTAGCTCCTTTTCTTCCTGGGCACGGCTCACTGTAAGGTCAAGGGGAGCATCTGCTGTTTCTGACTGAGGTGAAGTGGTTTTTGTCTGAACACCATTTGTGGTGGTGTGGAGCAGGCACTTGGAGGCATACTCCATGGCAAACTGACGAATCATCTTTTTCATAAGCTCCTGGGCAATTAGGGGGATGTTTGGGTCACAGTCAAGAGGCACATCTAATTGAGACATACAATACAAAAATCAATCAATCAATGCAAAAAACCTATATGTCAAAAACTTTAAAGATACAAAGGATTACACTCAAGTTTATGTGGATTACATTCACTGACACTATTTATAGCAGTAAGAAAAACATGACATGTAATTCAGCCTGTCATGATAACAAATTTAACAAATAAAAACTGTTATAAATGTGTAATAAAATTTAAAAACACTAATGGCAATACATACTAAAGGTGTGCAAAAATATCGAAATATTGGTATATCATATCGTTTAATGTAATAATACAGTGTCGATATCGAGTACTGCTATATCTATATATCGCCAAGAGTATTTTTTAGTATATTTTACTAAATTATTTTGATACAGTGCTACAGTTTTGTTGCGTGTTTGGAGGAAGGAACCTCGTTTATGCAACACATTTGACATTTTCACTGTTTTGATTATTAAAATGGTCTGTTTCATACTCACTTTGCACAAGAAGTGATTTAACAAAGACTTTTAGTATCACAGACATGATTTAGCCTTTATTTTGTATCGAATCGATTTGAAATATATTGTATTGAATCAAAAGTGCACTGTACCGAGATATGTATCGTATCATAGCACATATCGTATTGGCAACTTCTTAATGATACCCAGCCCTAATAACTACATTGCAGAATGATACATTTACCCATTAGTTTGTCTCTACAATGAGTCATAGAAGTGATTTATTTAACCCGCTACAGTTCAAATCTTCAAAAAAATCTGTTAAAAAAAAAATAAAAATCACAAAAGGTTTCCCACTAGTTCAAAGAAAAAGTACCCACAATAAGTATTGACCCCAAAAATCATTGTTTCACCTACGCATGTATTGAAGAATAACTCGATAATAATAATTATTAATAATTAATAATTGATAATTATCATGACAGGCAGTATTACTACAGTTAGTACTGCAATTGTGCGTCAAGAGACAAGGAATCTTGGCACCAGAAACTGAAACTACCTGTAACACAAGCTCCTGGGTTATGTTACTTTTACTGCTTTCTTTGCATCTACATAACCTTCCTATACAAACATGCAAAGTTATGTTTCAATTTAAAGATCTGTTCTTCTGTTCACCACAGCTGTCTCTGGCAAAGGTTTATTTTTATGCTGATTTGGAGGACTGAGCATCTTCAAATATTCAAGTTCACATTTCCATTTACTCCAGAAGTATGCCATCAGTATTGTGTTGTACCAAGGATTACCTTTCTTGTTAAACACAGCCTGTAGGAACCTGTGAGCTGATTGGCTGCTCTCGGACAGAGCAGGGCGTGGAGAGTAGTCAGATGGGGACGAGAGGGGAGACATGGATGACAACACATGATCCTAAAAAGAAACATTTTGAGTTATGTCTAGCAGTAATTAGTTCTTGATAAAGCAGCATATCAAACTATATTATGCCTTACATTGAGTTTCTCTAGGGGAAGATTGCAGAATGAACAGTGGGAACCGTTTTCTTCAGGGGACCAGTCAAGAACTTCTTCTGGTTCATAGTCTAAAAAAAGGTGCCAAAATATGTATGAGATAGTCTGCTTATGTATATACAATACGGCAACTGTTGAACATAACAAAATGGTGGAACTAGGCTTAAAGTCATGTGAGGTTTTACACACTACCCACCATCAAATAAACTGAGATCTCTGAGCAGTAATGGTCCATAGATGCCCTCAAGAATGCTTTCAAACCCTGCAAAATAGACACAAGTTCTGTTGTCAGTGACATACAGGGTCATTTGCATAGTTATAACCATGCAGAGGCTTTTTTGTTCACTGTCTAAACCTGCCAATGCACTAAATGTACTTAACAGAGAAAGAAGAACCGCCGCACCTTCTCCTTCACCTCCATAAAGCCTGGCGTTAGCGTGACATTAGCTTTGCGGACGCATCGTATATTTTCATAAACACAAAGCTCACGTACCGGGGTTGCAGTAATTGTAACAAACCGCTTCGTCGTGGATTCAAAGTAACTCAGGGTTAATAATACATGGTTTTCGTTGTGTGACACTGTTACTAACACTAGTGCTATTGTTTGGACAGGTAGTTAGTGGCTAGCATACCAGGCAGAGGGACAAAGACAGCGAGCCAATTCCCGAAATGCTAGCCGCTGCCAGCTGGTAGACATTAGGCCAGTGTTATTACCATTGAAGCGGGTTATCTACCGCACAGGCTATGCTAGCATCTACTTTTAGCTAGCCCTTTAGCAGGTGAGTGTGTGCGCTCATTTTCAAAGCCCACTGAATAATTAAAATGCATAAAACATACCAATGCAGTGTATTAATTTGTGCCGCCACGAATCCAGTTCCCGTCTGAATCCTTTCCTCTCGGCCGTGCACTTGGAGCAATGCACGGTCGCCATTCTGCGTCCTTCCCCCCTCTCGCTCCCTCTGCCTCTGGTTCTGATCCGCCGTCACCGAAGCTCAACCCAACCACCCTCTCTGTCCGTTGGGGGGCGCCACACCAGCCCTATTGTTCACAACGTAATCTGTGTCATTTTTAAGGTGGGCCTGAGTATGTTATTATCAAATATTATAAAATAAGTTTGCTGTTGCTGTCATCTGTGTCCATGAAGATCTGCATAAAAACAAGAAGGTGGCGGACCCTCCATTAGAAGAAATAGTCTTCATGTTGAAGCTTTAATATAAGGCTAAAAGAAAACAGTATTCTACTAGGCCAAATATTATCATGGTCCACGGGTATTTGTTGTGATTTTATTTTTCCATTGTAGCTTAGTCATTTTCCCCCAGTAACTTTCCATTTCAGGTGACCCAGAACTCCATGTTATTGTAGTCCTGGTCACGATATCATGCACATGTTTTTGTTTCCCATTATTCTGACACCTTGAGATTAGGACTTCTAGACTATAATCATTTTTATTTGAGTTTCAGGGTACCTGACCTATAAACCAGCCTATAGGTTTAGGTTAGTTTGTATCTTAAACTAATGAGGATTTTTTTTTTTTTTTTTTTTTTTGTTTTTTTTTTTTTTTTTTTTGTTGTTTTTTTTGACGGAAATAGAAAAATGTCAGGTTGGACTGAAGATAGATTCATATAGGATATAGGCCTACCCTGCTGAAAAGTAAGTAGCCTACTCTAAGTTAACAGACTTTCCTATTGTCCACATGAGGGCAGCATTGCACTTCAGTGTCAATACTTGAAGCCAAGCCATGTTTAATGTCCTTCGTTTAGGCATAAAATGATATCGTATTAACACAGACCAATTTTTTGTTCTATTTCTGTTGTGCGAATGGGATGTGTTCACATTTTCAAGTAGTCTATGACTTTTTCAGGAGTAACCTAACACAAACCCATGTAGCTGAGAGTAAAACACTTGCACAGCCTCAGGTCGCAGGTTCGGGTTTGCCATGTTTGTGTGTTATTGTGTTATTTGCCTGTTCCCCAGTGTTTCCTCTGAAGGTAAGGTAGAGGTAGGCTTTGTTAAAAGTCTCTTCCCAGTAATTGATCACCTTGAACAAAGCATTCTAAACTTTGATGTAGTGCCCTTAATATTTTTAGCAACTTGTTTTTTTCACAGTGTCATTGTATCGTGGTAGTGTTGTGAATGTCTGTTGTTTGTGGTCTATTATAATGTTTTTATAATGTTTAATGCTTCACTTTGGGCTTTTACCAGCTTAAATCTAAACTAGAGTTTGATGAATAAAACATGGTTTGAAGTGTCAGTGTGTAACATGGCAGGAATATGGGAAAGGTAAATAGGAGAGAGGAAGTAGGGGCAGTAGGTGAGAGAAGCAGGCTTAATTGAGGTTGAAGTGTGTGTGGACATGCATTCAGAGACAGGAGGAGGCAGACCGCTGTGCTGGGACCCCACGCTGTTTCCCGTCTGAACAAGTCTTTCATAAGTTACCCACGTCCAGCTGCTTTCAACTGCCTTTTTGTCTCAAAGGCACTGTCAGAGCTGTCCGTCTCTGTGCGTTAGGGCAGGTGTTTAAGTAATGGAGCCACTTTTCTGCAGGGTTCTGAGTAAGAGGGTTTTGAGCACATGAGCTGGATTGTGTTTGATGATGGAGTAGTGGGCCATGGGTGCAGACCTGCTGTCCTCATGATTGAGTGTAGAAAAGGAGGGAAAAAATAAAACATAAAAGCACGTGCAACACATACACTAAAGGTGCACTATGTAACTTTTCTAGTAGAGGGCCGCCGCTAGAAAAATTGATCTGCCTGAAATGTCCCACACTATACGTGAAGATAGAAAGTTTTATTACTATACTGTGAAACATACCAGACAAATCAATTACATCTCTGCAGAGCAAAGCATCTGATGGACCCTCCACCAGAAAAGTTACACAATGCATCTTTAAAGGGGACTTATTATGTATTTTATATGTATTTTAGTCATGATATAACTGTTCCATTGTCATTACTCAGTTATATTCCGATTGATTCATACTTACTTGAGTAATCCTGCATTGCTCCTAACTACACCTACAGCTCTGAACTTATTTACAGTTGTTAAAAAATTATATAGCCTCTGTGTCATGTAGGGTTAAAATGAGACATTTTTCAATAATAAAAACACATAAATCTCATTCTGCTACTTGGTACGGTGAAATTCCACTATGAAGAGGTGCGACCTGTTCAGTTCTGTAGTTTTGAACAGCAAGTCACTGAACCTGTTTCCATATTTCAGCCATTTTACATCATCATTATAGTTTAAAATTAACAAATTTAAAATAATGAAATACATATGTTATAGTTCAATACTAAATACTAGAAAAAACAACAACAGGTTCTTGCAAAAAAATAAACAAAACAAAAGAACAAAACAAAAACTGAGTGAGTTTGTTTTTAATATCATGTGAAGTACAGAATGCTCTTGAAGTACAGAATGTTTCTTTTAAAAATAACATTAAAAAGTTGTATTTAGAATTAGCTAATCAGTATTTGTAGCATACGTAATTCCCTGAAACAGTGTTATGGCATATTGTAAATATTGTATTCATCAAGTGTAATTTTCCCCCTTTGTGATCAATGTGCTCAAATACAGACAGCTCTCAGAATCAGCCACACAATAACTCACTCTAAGCTTTTATGAAGCATCAGCTGCTTTTGTTTACAGCCAAACTATAAAACGGCTGCTGCCCCAGTCAGACAGTCAATTGTGGACTGTCAATGACAAATCACATAGGCTATAGTGCCACAGCGGGGTTTAGCCAGGAACAAAAGAAGCACAACTGTGAAAATCAAAATACATTTGTCAGTAGTTTTGGGTCATTTCTTTATTGAAAGCATCAGAATGTTTTATTGGAAAAATAGATACACCCTCTGTATTATGTAGTGTCTTTTGTTTGTGTCTGAGGAACTTTGGGTCTGAGCCACCTCACATGTTTCAGTGATTCTTGTTTTGATTTGTCTTTAACATATTGATACTTTGCAGTGGGGTGTTCTTCATATATCTCTATTGGCATAATGTTTAGCAGGCACCATGGCGACAGAATGCAAACTCGTGTGTGTTGAATCCATTTACCAATATCATTGCCAAAAACTGCCAAAAATGTTTTAATATAGTCTAACAACTCAAGAAAAATACAATCTGGATTTAAATAATATTTTTTGGAGCCTGTAATCAGTAGCGTTCATGGTTTTGTTTAGGAATTTGATTTTCAACAAAAAAGGTGTTGAATCCATTTACCAATATCATTTATATGAGATGTGCCACATACACATACACACACACACACGAGTTTGCTTTCATTAAATCCAAATTGGATCCAGTTTCATATCATCAGCAAGTAACCCTAAACTAAAAATAAACTCTTTTCATGTTTCTATGGAAATACCACATAGCAACATTTGTTTCCCTTACCACACAACCATTTGAGCCACAATCATTGGTCAATTATAAGTGATGAAAGCTAAAGCCTACATCCCACACTAGGCCTATTCCTTCATATTCTTTGTTCCTGTCTTATAGACATGACATAGACTCAGATTCAGGTGCTGAGAATTGTCTGTTTCCTGCCCTGATAATAAAGGTGTCCATGCGACTGGGCAGAGGAGTAAGTTTGATGACCTGCTTCTCGCTGACTCACTCAGACATGAAGATGAGGCCCTGGACCTATAAAAAGCACTACTTGAGGCAGAGATTTCCATGAGTTTCAGACTGATGAAAAAATGCACTGTTACCATTGGAATTAACTATTCCGAGCAATATTCTATCTTTTGAATGGTCAAAAGTCCTCAGAATGGTGCCTATGGATTAGAGCCATAAGTGCTCTAACCCACCATGTTGTGTGGATTTAGCCCAAACCTCTTTTGTCTTTTGTGAGCAACAACATGATTGTGAATATGTCTCTCTCTAAACTATGGTGAATAATGTTGACTGTTGGTTTGTGTCCTGATTTACTTGGTTTCCCTGTAGTCTTTCATTGTTATGTTTTGTTTGCTGTATTTGCAATTCTTTCGTGGTCTACATTTGTTTTACTGTTTTTTTGTTTGTTTGTTTTTTCTGTTGCTTAATTGTGATAATAATATCACAGATAGGACTTTACCTAGCTGCCACTGTTTGAGTTATCAAGGTTTAGTGTTTTAATGTCTTTAATGCCTTGGGAAGTCATGTTGTGAACTTTATTTCCTCTAACAAGAACAGGCATAAAAATGTAAGTTCATAAACTGCCATTGTCATTCCTCTGGGCTCATGTGCCCACTCAGATCAAAGCAAACTTCCAGGACAGGGTCCTGTCCAGTGTTCCGGACACTGCCTGGAAATTCCCTCTCACTGCAAGAGTCACCATAGGACCCATCAGTCTGTGAGCATGTTGTGGTGTGCGCTGGGTTTCCTGAGGCTCACTCAGACCTTTTATCACACTGTGGGTTTTCTTCTGTTGTATCCTGCAGCCCAGTATGTCTCTGTGGGCAGCCCTCTGGATGACAGGCCGGTGGTGGCTGCTGCTGCTGAACCTGGACATACAAAGGTCAACACTCACAAAGTCACTTTGTACTGGGGAATGGACAGTGGGAAAAGCTATTTAATTTCTGATACTGAGCAAAAGTCTGGACAATCAGGATACCGATGCTACACCCTCCTTGAAAATGCACAGTGAATGCAGTTTGACATATGGACGTGTGCATGTGTAACATGTAGTTTTAATCCACTGTTACCGAAAGAGGATTCAGATGATGGGAATTTACACAACCTCATGTTTAGGTGTTTAGGTGCTGCCACCTCTCAGGGCCTCTTTACAAAAGATATCAACTAATGAATTTCTGCATCAAATTTGAATATAAATTATGATTCATGTCAAGGTCTAAAACAGTAATCTGTGTAGAACAGCTATTATTTATTAAAGTTTTTGATAAAGTGACTCATTCAAGGACAAGTGAGGTAGAATAAGTTGAATATACAGCAAATGTATGCTGTGTCACCTGCTCCGCATCACATGCATCACACGCCTCAATCTGCAGCT